ATCCTTCCAGAGTGTTCCGTTGGACAGTACTGTCACTTATTTGTTCCTTTGCCGGTCTTATAGTTTATTCTTCATTTGATTCTCTCTCAACCACACTTAATGTTCTTCAGTCCTCCTAGTCTGAGCTTTCATCATGTGGCTTTGGTTAAAAACTTGTAGAATTGCGGTCTACTTCGTTATTAGTACTGTTCTAATAATAAACCGAATCCTAAGATTGTAAATCTGTCATGATATGACTGCCTAATCTATAAGGTCTTGTCCACCCTAACTCTTCGTATTGTAACAATCATTAATATACGATGAAGGACACATTTGGGCTAGAGATATAACAACATATTTATGATAGATAACAATTGTTTTACGTAAGTATGACCACGTTTGCAATGCCGTTTATTGCCATCCGAACAATATGAATAAATATGAGTAAGATCAAGTTGTACAGAGCAGCCACCCGATTGGATTAAATTCCTTCTTGCCACTTTCCCCAGCGTTTGTTTTTTTCTCCGTGTTAAATGTTAAAAATATATATTTCTTAGCTGTCTCGTGTTCGGCTTTGAGGGCTGTATGGTTAGGGTCCAATTCCATTACATAGTCATTTTGAATATTATCGATTTCGCTTTTTTTGATGTACTTGTTTTATTTGATTTTTGAACCTGTTTCTTGGTAATTTTAGCCTTCAATATCTCCGGTTTAACATTGTTCTGGTTTGATAGTGTGAAAATTTCTCTCCGACATCTAAAAATTCGCGGCTTGCTGTGTAATTGTTATAATAATTATTAGATCAATATATGTTGATTGATTAATTTCAATTTACGAACAAACATTTGATACGTGAGCGGAAACTTGGGTCTCTTGTCATTTGGGTCACAAGGAAAGGGTGAATCAGTTTGCGGGCCTAGTAACAGATCAGAACAGAATTTGGGCGTAACGTTGGGTCTAATTCGCTTAACGGTCCAGTGTCATCTGTTTTTTATGAGAACGTCTAAACATTTACTTCATCACCACCAAACTTAAGTACTCATTTTTATTTCTGTTATATGATTTTCGTTTTTACTTTAATCTCATTTAGTTACGGAAATGAATTTGACTAGTTTTGATGAAAATTCTAACATCGGTGTGGTGGCAACAGTGGAATCAACAAGCCGATTGAGCAGGTTATATAACTACAAGGCTATCATTATTTCCTGTTTTTTGAGACTTGTGATTCAGAACAAAAGCAATGGTAACAACTGAGCTTGCATTAACTCTAAGGAGTATGGAACAGACAGTGTTGCTTCGATGAGGAATATAGCTCATCACCACTTTCCCTTTGGATTATCACTTTCTAGCCTAGATGATAGTTTCTATTTGAAACCTTTGAATAGAGATAGTCGAATTGATGGTGAATGTGGAAACGTTAAACCGTGTGGCATGGTTTAATCCTGCTATCGTGGTTATTTTTGTGTAACTTATTTATTCATATTAAATATATTGTTCTATCGTTAGCTTAAATGTGTCCTTTAGAAACGCTGAACATTTTATCGCCGAATGTTGCGATACGACGAGTTAGAATAGACAATGATGTGACTTCGAAGTGAGATCTCATAGATTACGTGGTCACATCATGACAAATCTATAATTATAAAACTCGGTTTATTATTAAAACAGTACTAATGACGAACTAGACCATAGTTCTAGAGAATCATCACTTATTACAAATACCACAACTGTTACTGATTGAATGGGAGTGCAGTGGCATTGAGCCATTACCCCATAATCCTCAAAGCTGAACACGATACAGCCTGGAAAACAGATATTTAATATTTAAGGCTGAGAAAAACCCAACGATGGAGAACGCAGGAACAATCAATCAAATGAATCCGAGTTGATCGGATGGCATGGCTCGGCATTGCAGGCGTGGTTCCTGTTGAATGTTACCTTATATGTTTTATCCATATTAAATATATTGTTCTATCTCTAGCCCTAGCTTGTTCTCTATCATGTATTGGTAATTGTTACGATGCGATGATTTAATGTAAACGATGATGTGACTTCCACATAAGATCTAATAGATTAGACAGTTATATCATGACAAATCTACAATTTTAGGATTAGGTCTATTATTAGAGCAGTACTAACATTATAGTAGACCATGATTCTACAGGAGTCCTGGTTTTTATAGTCTATTGTGTGTCCTCTACTTAGATTTATCATGTGTCCGTCTGGATGTGCATTGGATATAGACTCTTTACAATTTAGATTATACTTATTAGTATCCGAATTAACAATGGAAATTACAGCAAACTCACCCAGGTTCTTGTAATGCATTCATGCTGTGGCTGGCCTACACATGAACAGCAGATTCATCATAACGTTTAAGCAGACCTCTCGTAGATTGTGGAAATTCATTTCCTCGACAGCATGTAACATTAGCAGACTGCGAACATTTCATATTTAGGTGGACACTCTCTGATTGAGCAATTTCTTCATTGGTATGTTTTTCAGTACGGTCTGACAATCCTGTACTCTCCTTCTCAGATCTTTAAATTTCTCGACAGCGACTGAAATGAGTACGGTTTCCAAGTTCTTGAAATTTTTCGCCTGATCATCACAATAAGAGAGTGTCGCACTTCAATTCTGTTGTTGCCAAGTAACCAAACATTTCATTAGAACAGTCCTTAATGGACTAGGAGGAGAGCTGTTGTTGAAGTGCTGTTAAATTTTCTAGATCCAGTAACGATAGTAAACAGTAAGTGATGAGGAACTCACAAGTTATAATAGAGGGCTTATCATCCCTTATCAGTAAATTATAATATTTAGTAACCGAAAGTTTATGGTCGGAAATGCCCCACAGTTTCAATTATGTCATTAGAGTTCAATGACCTCAACCTTCCAAGTAAAATGATGGATTTGATGCAACCAGCGTTTACAACAAAGTCATGAAAGCACCGTAAAACTGGAGTTCGTAAATAAGGACGATGTATTGTTATTAGAATCACCCAAATTAAGAAAATCCTAGCTACAAACTTTAGTATTACTAGTGGCGTGATGCGTCCCATTTTGATCACACTTGAAGTATACAGCATGATGAAACTTACATAATTTACGTGGATGAATTTTGTCAGACGGTAGACACTAACTAAACCTGTGCTCACCTCTGTAGCCTGCCGTGCAACTCTTCAATGAGTTGTTATCCATGTTTCCAAGAGAACGAGGAATCTCATCAATTGATCGCTTGCTAACGTGACTTGGAGTACACATCGTATTGGGATAACTAAGAAATATATTAAAGTTCTCAATGTCCTAGAAGTCAATCTCACGCACTGCTCCGCAATTTACACACTCAGTTCCAGCATCTTGGAACATTTCAGAATTTGCATGAGCTCTCTTTTCAGATTTGGTATGCTAATACCTGTAATTATCTGCTTCGGTTTGGGCACCCGGGCAGTACCACAGCCCTCACACATATCAAATGAGATTTTTGTGGCGCATATGTATTTGGTACCTCCTTGTACCAATATCTATGTGTTAAAATAAATAAATAATAAATCCTGTAATTATTCGATCAGACGTCTGCGCATATTGTTCACCAAAATTACACTTGGCGCCTTGTTGCTGCAACTTGAGGATAAATTTTCTAACCTTCTGGTTGTTCTGACAAGTCATTTTGTGAAATTTTGCCATTTCAAGGCACGTGAAATCGGTACGCTACATGATTTAGTGATAGTTATTTGAGAGTTACATAGGGGAGTGACATGCCAAGATTTTTAGTGAGCGTTAGGCATCATTTCTTATGAATGTAAAGAAATAGACCACATTTTTGTCATATTTAAAATCTTTTCTGATCTTACTCCAGGTTTCAAACTTTTCCATGTAATCCTCGAAACATTCAACATCGGAATTTATGTCCGACCATTCAGTCACAGGTTCCATGGCGCTAATATAATAAGTAGAAATATTCAAATTTACGTGTCCAATAAGAAATCGCGAAGTAGTGTAATTTAAGACAGGTAGAAGTAAATGAGCACAAATGGACGTATTCTGTTTGCATTTCGTAACAAACGCGCAATTAAGTACAAGAGAATCATATGTCAGTACAAATGCCAAAGCATATCACAACTTGTCATCCCAAAAAGTGTGTTATCAAACATTCACCTGTCTGTTCAGTGGCAAAAAAGTCATTAAAAAACTTTAAATATGGCCTTCATAATTGTCACCCTTTTGTTTAAAAAATTAAGAAACATATTTTCAGACCAAGTGTAAAAAATAAGAGAGCAAAAACACTGTCCAGCTACACTAAAATTTCTTAAAAACCCACTTAATCACATTAATTACTCGAACACATAACGGGCATCAGGAGTACGTATTTTTTGTGATTGAACTTAAGCACCAGTTTATATTCAATTGCTAGTTGTGCCAAGTCACGTTTATTAATTTCAAACATCGCCAGTGTCGACTTAATTCATGATCACATTAAAGTTATGGCGAGACTATAAGTTATGGACGAATCAATCATATACAAGATAAAACTGGTTCGCTAACTAAGAATTCCAAGTATAGTCCAATTAATTACACATAGAACTGGACGATTACTACTAGATGTATTCCACTTGAACTTCGAATCAGCTGCCGAGCAAATACAAGGAAACCTTCAATGAGTACAAGTACCGCAAAAACATGGTTTATCGTAAAACTCCAACCTGTGTGATATGACACAGTCCATACCCCAAACTATCGTCTCAGAATTCGGCTATGATACAACTACTGGTAAAAATCTATCAGGTTCCAAAAGCAACAAAATAAACGTAGGTAGAACCTGAAACGTTCAAATAATTGTGGGAGGAACATAAGATTTTGCTTAGCGAGCTCCCGTGTCAAGTTGTGTTGAATACTTCTGACTACAGGTTAGAAATAAAAACAAAATTTAACCGAACTGGCTTAAGGAGTAGTTAGCCAAAGTGGTTATTTGTTGGCGTATAAATACAAAAACGAAGTTACTTCACACCAATTTTACAGTTACCCACTTTTCAAAAGCATGTGGCAATTTGACTTCTAGGTCAAATCGGTCAATTTTGTCAGTGTGTTGCAAGTATTTTGTCATATCCTACCAGTTCTTAGTTTTCATCCCATTAACATGTATTCTGATCGTCGTGTATCCCTAGATATAGCACCGCTTGCTAGCTGGGGTAAGTTTAAGTCTCGACATTATTGATTTTTATAGATTCTTGTTCGGCCGATGAGAAAACGGTTGTTGTGTTAGTTGGTTTGCCTGCTCGTGGGAAGTCATATATATCTACCAAGCTTTCAAGGTACCTTAATTGGGTTGGAATTAATACACGAGGTATGATGTGTCATCGTTGTTATGCATTTTTTTCTAGTTTTCAATGTTGGGGCTTATCGTCGACTTCAAATGAAAGATTACAATGACCATAGTTACTTTTCCGACGAAAATAATGAAGGCGTAGCACTCAGACAGTACGGTTTACTGTTTTCAAACCTTATTTCTACCAATAATTACTTGTTTCTATTATTTTATAAACGCGGACCGAAAAACTTATTCTGTTCTCGTGTAACGTTCAATCTCTGGTAGGTTTGAATCTCGCCTGAAGATGATTTGTGTACTGGAGCAATTTAAGGAGCAGTGTTTCAGGGTATCTGAAAGGAAAAAAACCAACGAAGTAATCCGGCAATTTTGAGCATATATAATCCACTAACATTTAATGATAAAAGCAATCGATAACAATAAGAAATAGCATAGGCGTGTAGCAAAGACAGTTTAATAATAGATTATTGAAGTCGATAACTTAAGTTTCTCGTGGTACAACCTCGGAAGTTTCAAGTTACATCACCCAAAACTGTAGGCAAAATTAACATACATTTTTTGAATAATTCTCCTTACAAAAGAAACAATTAATTCCTGCTAATTATCTGACGGCCTGTCGTTTGTTGGAATTCATACAAAACTTTGTGTAAGGAAACTTTAGAGTATATATTTTTAAAAAACCACCCTAAATTAGTAACAGACAATATTATTACCTTTTCAATCGTTCAAACTGTGATAGAGTTCTTCGAATATATTTTTATTACCATTCTGTGCGATTCTGTTTATACTAATCACCTTGTATATTATTCCACGAATATAGTGTCATGTTCTTATTTAAGAACTGATAACTGTTTGAAAGTCAAGTTCCAGATTAATAAGTCTGAACTAATTGAGATAGGATTCAGACTCTTGACTATGACTTTATTTCGGACATTCGATTTTCAAATAATCAGTTCAGACATTAATCCTGAGGTACTTCCAATTGATATTTAGGTTGACATATAGCATCACTAAGCTTCAATTGATAGATTAATGTACAAATATATTAAATGGACAAATCTTATTATGTTGACACCGTATAACTTGTTTTCGGTTATTTAGTTGCCCGACTTTTAATTGTTTGTCTTCTTCCTTTTATCGAAGATTTTCAGTTTAAACCATATTAAATGTAATGGTTTTTAATATCTGATTTACGCTATAATATATATCACATTAAAAGATGAGCAATTTGTGGATGTACACTCATTTTCTGTGAGTGGTCCACGGACCAAATCAGTTGTCAGATAGTGTTGAATAAAGCAAACATCTGTCGGGTTGGGAATTTTTAAAGATTGTGTATAGTGGGAATCGTTGAATATCTCAGTTTAGAAATCAGTGAACCTGTTTTTGTTTTTTTCTCTTAATCAGAAAAATTGCATCAGAAGCATTGGATGACTTAATCTCCTGGTTAACATCAGATGTTGGTAGGATTGCCGTTTTTGATGCGACAAATACAACGCGAGAGCGTCGGTTATGGATAATGGAACGGTGTAAAACGCATAATTTTCAAGTTATATTTGTCGAGTCGATTTGTAAAGATAAAAATTTAATTCAGGAGAATGTTTTGGTACGATCATGTTTTTTTTAAATTAGGCTTTTTTATCTTGTCAGATTTCTAAGGCAAGACATTGTAATTTATTGACATTACTGCTCTCACTGTGCTACTGAGGTATGGTAACTTGAAGCGATGTACATATATACCAGGTTCTACGTTGTTTATAGCTGAGTGATTGACATTTATTTTTCAGTATGCACTAATATTCTTAATGTTTCAGGGGAATATTAAAAACCATGGTTAGAAATATTCAGCTCAATGAAAATAATGTCAGATGAATAGCACCCCGTAAGCTGAGCTAGAGAATACTTCCTTAATACCATCACACCGAACTTCTCACTTTTTTCGCTTATACCAGTTGTATTGTTTCCCATCCTACTTTTCTCCATTTGTTTTCAAGGAGGTAAAAGTCAATAGTCCTGATTACAAAAGTATCGACAAAGAAGAAGCGTTAAAAGATTTTCTTAAACGTATTGAACATTATGAAAAACGTTACGAATCAATTGATGATGATTTGGATAAGGATTGGTCTTATATTAAAATATTTGATCAAGGCAAACGATATCTAGCCAATCGTATCGAAGGCAAGTTCTTTCTATTTTGTTTTGCTGAATAAATTATCAAACTGTTTAGTTAGGTAGTTGGTTGGTAGACATTACTTCTTAAATTGTCATACAGTAGGTCGGTTTCAGCCTGAATAGCTTAATTGCAAAGTTTCTGATAGTTAAAAGATGGGCTCGAATATTATGGGGGAGCGTTAGTTCCCTCAAGAATGCGGACTGACGAGTTGATATATATATATATATATATATATATATATATATATATATATAATCATGTTACTATTACCACTAATATTACTACAACTAATTACTCCTGTTATCTATTGGAGTATGGGCTGTCCACCAGGGTTTTCCAACCAACTCTGACTTGGGCTCTGCTTTTCAATTGTTTCCAAGTGCTGTTCATTCTTTTGATGTTTGCCTCCAAGTCCCGTCGCTATATGTTCTTTGGTCTTCCTCTTTTCCTTTCGCCTTCAGCATCCCGATTTAGGGTTTGCCTTTCGATTCAGTTTGATGATTTCCGCAATATGTGAGCTACCGCCTCCAGCGTCTTTTGCTAACTTCTTATCTGAAAGTTGGTTTGTTCTCTGCTACAGTGTTGTTGCTAATGGTATCCTACCAACATACATTGAGTTTCATGCGTAGACAATTGTTTATAAATACTTGTACATTTTTGATGTTGTAGTTATTCTCCACGTTTCAGCTCCGTACAATAGAACTGTCTTGATTTTGATGTTGTCCGACAATTGTTTAGGTTTTCAGAAGTTCCTCAGTTGTTGTAATACTGCCTTTGCTTTCCTTCAGAAAAGAAGTTTGCTAGAAAAGCGCCAACCAGAAAAAACTTTTCACGTAATTTAAATTAATTTCTAAAAAGTTTAGAAAGAAAAGATGTGTAAGCTGAACTCATCAGATTGTCATAATTAAGTGAATCACAAAATTAAGAGATCGAATTTCTTCGGTTATCTAGGCATATGTAGGCTAACAAAGGCCCTCGCACGGCCGAGGGTAGGGAGAGTTAGCTCTCCCTTTTGAAATGCTCTCACATGACCATGCGTATACACCCACTACCAGGGAAATCCTACTCACTACCTTCTCGCAGTGAGTGTTGTTCACGAAACTGCGAGGATAAAAAGCGAATGACCGTTTCTTTAACCAGGTTGGTGGACATGGAGGGTTCACCTAGGTGAGTTAAAAAATCCTAATTCTAAACCATTGGTGCACATGATCTCCAAGATCCTAAGGAAAGAAATGGCATATGAACCTATCGTTGGTCACCGGCTACCATGCGATTGCATCTCCTTACGTTGCTTCACTGTGTTATGGATTAGACCTCTAAGCCGAGGGCTCAAAGAGTGGCCCTCCGAGAAAATCTGCTTCGGTTTGGGCACCCAGGCAGTATCACAGCCCACACATAAATCAAGTGATTTGTACGGTGCATATGTATGCCCCTTCGTACCAATTTTTATGTGTTCAAATAAATAAATAACCATAGACTCTTTTAGTGCAAAGATTATGTTCAAGCCGTCTATCTCTTAAGGTATATTAACTTGTATTTTTTGACCAGTGAAATGTAATGAATTCATCGTACTGTGCAACCAATGTTGTTGGTTTAGTCAGAAAAAGGTTATCTCAGAGTTGAATTTACAAAAATGTACTTACTGTGTGTTCTGTATAGATGCATGCAGAAAAAAAACGTTTCATTATCTCCCATTCAAAGAGCTTATTAATGATTATGTGTGTTGGTCTGCTAGTATGTCTATGTTTGTTCCTGTAAACTTATGGTCATTCCTAGAACTATGTCTAACCCAGTTTAGTTATATTTAGTTAAAGTAAAGCAAAACTGATAAGTATGGAATACTTACTGGATAATAATAACAATGATAGTAATAGTAATGGTTAGTATCTATGAATTTGTGATTTTCTTTGCACCTTTTCTTTTTATCTCTTAGTCTCCATGTCAACATTGGACACATGGGGAACATTAATCGTAGTTTCCCTGTATTTAATGTTCTCTGGATTATTTCAGGGAATATCTGGATTAATGTTACACTGTTTGTATCACCTGTGTGAAATATTAAACAGTCGAGAGAACTTTCAGTACAGGATAGTTACGACTAATGTTTTCCACGTGTTCATTGCTGGAAATTTCTCACAGACTTTTTTCCATTCAATTCCTATTAAATTTTAATGGTTTGTTGTTACTTTGTTTTTTGTCTATCTTTGGTACTGTATATTTATAAGTTACTAGTATTTAATCACATTATTTGTGTGACGTTGACCAATCGAGTGAGTGATGTCAAGATTAGGCGTATGGTACTAATCAAATTTGGCAAATTAGTTAATAGGGATATGAATCTTCATTGACTGAGGCAAGTCGGTTACTTATGCCCAACCACCGATTAGTTGACATTCAATGGTGATTAATGTAAAATTAGTTTGATGGATAGCTAGAAGTGATCAAGCCATAACGTGGTATTAGTCTATAAAATCAAAAACTGTTGAACCGGGGTGGATCGGTAGATTTTAATCTATCTTGTTGGAGTATGCACCAATACTAAGATCAGTATTGGTGGCGTGGCTAAGAATGAATAGCGGCAGCTTAGACGGATTCACTTTTTACCTACCTATAGATATTAAGTTTTGGTTACCTTTTGCACTTTCTTCCCATTCCTTCTCGAGTTATATTCTCCTTGTTATCTTTCCTTAATATAATTGATACTATTATTAGTTGTTTTTTGTTCATCTTATTGATTTCGTCTCACTGTTTCGGTGCAATATGGTAGCTTGGACTATAAACTACAATTGTATCAGCTTCTATACTAGTCATAACTGATTAACTGACTAATACAATCGTTTTTTAAAGCAGTTTTTTCCTCAGTAATACTAATTCACTTCTCTGATATTATTCCAAAATCTCACATACTAAACATTGCTTACCAAAACTAGTATTGACTGAAAGAAGCATAGGTAGAATTGATTTCACAAAGTAACCGTTGTGGCGTTATATCTTGTCATTTACTTATATCACAAAATCATGATAATTATCTACAAATATTTTAAAACCTATTCTCTATGATTGTGTATCTTAATTTATTATTACTTCATCCTCATGAGATCTGTTGTCATGGGATAAAATCAATTGAGGTGATTTTTGGAATTTAGGTGACATTTCAAGACTTTTCAATGGTGTACAATATAAACACAACTCTACTACTTATTAAACCTTTACGATTATGTTACTTTTGTTGTACAGAATTGAAATTCACCTTGAATATTAAAGCTCTTCACTTTTTTGGTGATTTTCATTATTCTTTACTTATCTCCTCGTTTTTTTTGTTACTTCCAGTATGTTGTTTATGCATCAACCAGTTTGTGTGAATCATCTCAGTTTTTTTCTTTACTAGTAACTATATTTTGAATTCATAATAAATTTTCCTGTATGCAGTTTAACTTTCTGCAGCTATACGCTCCTTATTGAATGTAGCCCACAAATGCCCTGGTACGGTCGAGAGTGGGAAGCGTCAACTCTCCCTCTCGAAATACTCTCACATGGCTACGTGTAACCAACCACTGACAGGGAAGTCCTATTCGCTGCCTTCTCACAGCATTACTGTTATTTACGAAATTCAGAGGACGAAAAGCGAATGTTCGGCGTTCTAACTGGGTTGATGGATATAGAGGAGTCACCTAGGGGAATTGGAAAACCCTGATTCCAAACCAATGGTGCACATGATCAACAGGATCCTAATGAAACAAATAGTGTATGAACCAATCGTTGGTCACCGGCTACCATGGGAATGCATCTCCTCACGGTGCTCTACTGCCTTGTGGATCAGACCTTTAGGTCGAAGGCTCCGGGTTCAATGATACAATGATACATCCAATTGTTGACTTCTAGCTATCATCACGCGGACATTCGTCATTGCTCATTGGTTGGTAACTATAGATCAATATATTTGTATAATGAACGGTTTCATAATATCTTGATTGGTGAATTTTGTCAGTAGTAGACAAAATATTAATAAGTTTATACTTTTATCAATAAAATCAATGAATATATCATTTTTTTCTGATCATTCATATCTACTAACTCATTCAATCTACTTTCACTTTAAATGACATAAAACAAGAAAAATTTCTTAGTTTTAATTAACATTAGCTAGCAATATCCAATTAGCTTTTTCTTTTTAAAAGTTAGTAGTTAGTATAAGGTTGTGGAGTTTATTGAGTTTCATTGAAATCATGAACTAATCAGTGTTAGGCCACTCAATCAGTCAGTAACAACGTGGAACTTCGTACATACGTACACCAGTTCGAGTTGCCATACCACATTAGCACAGAGATTCAGTTATCGATTCAAATCCCGTAGTAGAAGAGGTAGTGATAGGGAACATTTGGGTTTGATGATGTTATTTAAGGAGTATAGTCCAGTGGAATATATTTGGAAAGAAAATAAAGGACATGGAGAATTCAGAAGATTAGAGTTTGAGAGAACACAGAGAGTGGATGCACCTGCGCCATTGCAAACGATTTTCAGCCATGTCATTCAAGGTCTCTAACCATCGGTTGCTATCATCTCGCGGACCCCAACCAAGTAGTCTACACCTACCAACATGGCTCAGTCCACCTGTCAGTGATTTCATGGATTTGTGCCATGTCTTGGCCACCCCTCGCTTTCTTCCAACCTACTCCTACACCATAAAACATCGCACGTCGGGGCAGTCGGTGGTCTGGCATACGCAACACATGTCCTAGCCATCTCAAATGGTTAAGTTTTACTACTTTGTCAGTTGATTCGCCATCCTTACCTAGTACCCGTTTCCTAACAACTGCATTACTTACTCGGTGGTCCCAGGATATACGAGCAATGTTTCGAAGACACCTATGATCAAATACTAGTAACCTACAAATACCCTCTACACTTACTGGCCATTATTGTGGTATTATATTGCTCTCTAGACACTGGTTAAAATGTTTTAAGCTGTTGGCACTCAAGTATTTCATATTTGTCCTAAAAGTCATCCTATCCACGATAGTTTGGACGTTTTAGTAGTATTATTAGCATTCATGCAATATATATGTATTAGGCCACTACTAAAACTCTTTAAACACTGGTCGGCCGTTTTGATCTACTAGGGGACTCTTTATTTGTACGCGGAGTTCTAGTGAGAAGCTTTCACTAGTGGAATCCAACCGTGTTGGGTGTGAGGCAATTATCCACCGAACACAATGAAGGATGGTCGCGCAATATTGTGGATCGTTTGAAGATAGACACTGACATTGTTGAATGCCAGCTCAGTGGTCTACAGGTCTATTGTTTACTCACAGGACCAATGGTGTTGGGTTCTCCCCCTGTGTTTGGGTTTGTGGATATGTACTGTTAAGTGGTCCCGTACTAGGAGAAAACAGCTTTTCAGTGCTTCCAGATTTTCAGTAGTGATCTAACATTGATCATTTAAAGGTTTCAACAAAAAGGTTAGTAATTATCTGAGATGAGAAGTCTTTAAATAAATATAATGAATACCGTAAAACTGTTTTGTTTAGAATTAAATTTTTTATTGGCCTAATGACAATTTCTACCTGCACTAATTTCAAGTAATAACTGTCTTATAGCTATTTGTAATTGTTACAAAAGTCAATGCTGGAACCCTCAGTCACTGGTCCACTTCGACACTATTTCGATGATTTTCGTCAGCCGACTAGTGTTATTAGGCTTCATATATATCAGTCAGTCAGTTGCAACGTAGGACCAGGCACATATATGCATCGGTTCAAGTTGCCATATCTCATTAGTACAACAATATGAATACCAAATTCATAGTAGTTAATTCAATGGTGGTAATACATAAAAGGAAGATTCCATATGAGGTTATAGTGCAGGAAGAAAGATTTAGTTGGTAGAAAGAAAGATATGAAGCGATTTTAATCTCTTAGTTTAAAGGAAGATAAAGAGTGTATAAACCTACACCATTGTGATCGGTTCTGAGCCATGTCACACACAGTCTCCAACCATTGGTTGCAATATTCACACGGACCACAACCAAGTAGTCCGCATCTACCAACATGACTAAAACTAGAAGTTAGTGACTTTGTGGACTGATGCCACGTTTTGGTTTGACCTCCCCTAACTTTCTTCCAACAATCCCCAACACCGTTTAGCATTGCACGTCGTAATCGGTGTTCAGGCATACACAACACGTGGTCCAACCATCTCAGTCGATGAAGATTCACAATGTCATAAACTGATTTACCATCATTCCTTAATATACTGTTGCCTAACCTCACTATTACTTACCCGGTGATCCCAACAGATGCGAGCAATATTTCTAAGGCATCTGTTGTCAAATACTAGTAGCTTACAAGTATCTTCTACTCTTAAAGGCCATGTTTCGCAGCCGTAAAGTAAAACAGAACGAACTGCCGCGCAGTATCTCGCCTTTGCCATAGGTGGCGTAATATAGCTAAAACCAAACGAGATTTTCGAATCCGTGCTGAGATTTCGTCAGAAACCAACCCATTAGGGCTGATCAGACTTCCAAGATAAGTGAAGTTATCAACGCGTTCGATTACTTCACTCCCTATCCTTAGTTAAGGTGTTGACGCAGACCAGTCCTGAGGCAAAAACTTGCATTTAGAGGGAGAGAAGCGCATCCCAAACATTCTGGCATTGTTGCTCAGTGCTACCAAAAGACTCTGCATTTCATCAGAGGCTTCACCAAACAGGACATATATAGTTTAGTTATCTATTTACCAACTATGAATCTCACTAATATATATATATATATATATATATATATATATATATATATATATATCATTGTGCTTACTCATGCAGTGTCATTAATACTTTGCACATTAAGTGAAACTATCTAAACAGTTCACAAATAATTAATTACTCTTCGATTATTTTTTATTGAACTTCCATTGTTCCAAATGTCTTCTTATAATCTCTCAGGTAATATCAACAGTCGAATTGTCTATTATTTAATGAATATTCGTGTAAACAAACGTACCATTTATCTGACACGAGTAAGTTTTTTTTCTTTCGAATGAGTGATCTACCATCTTATATGATTAGTGATTTACTCATTAGTTTTACTTTTGAGTAACTCTGTAAAGAATAATTTATTTTAAATAGTTTAAATTAGTAAATAAGTGTATAGATACTAGAAACATTTATTAGTTGTTTCATGAAACACACTGGCTTATAATAGTGGTTAAAGATTTCATCTCTTAGCCACTAGGTTACATGTCGTAATTGCAAAGATCTATTTTTATTTAAGGTGATAACTTGGTAGAACTACTAGATCGTGTATGCAAAAAGTGGACAACACTTTGAAGGCTTCTTCGACACTACGGCGTGCCTGAGAAGATAAACAATATATTACGGAATTCCTATGATGGATGCAAAATCGTGCATGGAGGACAGCTCATAAACTCGTTCGAAGTAAAGACCAGTGTCAGGCAAGGTTGCTTACTCTCACCCTTCCTCCTTCTCCTGGTGATCGACTGCATCATGAAGACGTCAATATCTAAGGGGAAGCATGGGATACAGTGGACATCTAGGATGCAGCTGGACGATCTAGACTTCGCAGATGATCTGGCTCTTCTATCGCACATGCAACAACAAATGCAGGAGAAGACGACCAGTGTGGCAGCAGCCTCAACAGCAGTAGGTCTCAACATGCACAAAGGGAAGAGCAAGATTCTCCGATACAACACAGCATGCAACAATCGAATCACACTTAACGGAGAAGCTTTGGAAGATGTAAAAACCTTTGCATATCTGGCCAGCATCATTGATGAACATGGTGGATCTGATGCAGATGTGAATGTGCTGATCGGCAAAGCATGAGCAGCATATTTACAACTGAAGAACATCGGGAACTCAAAACAATTTCCAACCAACACCAAAGTCAAAATTTTCAATACAAATGTGAAGACAGTTCTACTGTATGGGGCGGAAACCTGGAAAACCACGAAAGCCATCATCCAGAAGATACAAGTGTTTATTAACAGTTGTCTACGCAAAATACTTCAGATCCTTTGACCAGACACTATCAGCAACAACGTACTGTGGGAGAAAACAAGCCAAGTCCCAGTGGAGGAAGAAATCAGTAAGAAGCGCTGGAAGTGGATAGGATACACATTGAGGAAAGCACCGAACTGCATCACAAGACAAGCCCTCACTTGAAATCCTCAAAGCTAAAGAAAAAAAGGAAGACCAAAGAACACGTTACGTCGGGAAATGGAGACAGACATGAGAGGAATGAACAAAAATTGGATAGAACTGGAAAGGAAGGCGCAGGACAGAGTGGGTTGGAGAATGCTGGTCGGCGGCCTATGCTCAATTGAGTGTGACAGGCGTAAGTAAGTAAGTATGTATGTATAAAGTGTAGTTTACAGCCGAGTTTATGAATCTGAAGATTGCTGGCATGTCAGTCAGTCCGTCACAGTCGATGCATGACATATTAGAAAGGTTTATTGACTGAAGTTGTCTTACAATAGTAAAAGTATAGTATAGGAATGCGCCAATTTAAATTTTTAAAAGAACTACCATGAATTTTTACTCCAAATTTAAAAATGAAGGATTTTTATCTTCCATCACGTTAAATGCACAATAAAAATACATTTTTGTAGTGTGCTCAGGACGTTTAAAATAATTGCGGTGGTAATGGCATTGTTAAACATATCAAATGCACAAATTTTTATATATAGATAAGAGGGATCCACAAGTTCATGAGGTTATGCAACGATATTCCTTTAACCACATGCGTAGAAAATTGATTATAAGCTTTGGAAAATTAATAAACGCCTTAAAACAACCACCCTCAACCGTATCAGGAGCCACAACTGCCGTGATATAGCTGAGGTTGGGGAGAGTTCTCTCTCTCGAAATGCATGGCCAAGCGTATACAGCTACTACCAGGGAATTCCTACTCACTGCCTTCCCGTGGTGAGAGTGTTGTTCACGAATTCGAGAGGATGAAAAGCGAATGACCGGTTCTTTAACCAGGTTGGTGGACATGGAGGGTTCACCTAGGTGAGTTAAAAAATCCTAATTCTAAACCATTGTTGCTCATGGTCTCCAAGATCCTAAGGAAAGAAATGGCATATGAACCTATCGTTGGTCACTGGCTACCTCTGCTTCGGTTTGGGCACCCAGGCAGTATCACAGCCCTCACACTTATCAAATGAGATCTATGTGGCGCATATGTATTTGGTGCCTCCTTATACCAATATCTGTGTTGAAATAAATAAATAAATAAACCATGCGATTGCATCTCCTTACGTTGCTCCACTGTGTTATGGATTAGACCTCTAAGCCAAAGGCTCGAAGAGTGGCCCTCCGAGAAAATCTGGTCCGGTTCGGGCTCCCAGTCATCATTCGAGCCCTCACACAGATCAAATGACAAAGTGTGCCGCATTTAATTTGTTGCCTCTTTCTACCAATGTTTGTGCTTAAATAAATCAAGATGAAATCAGCAGGCAAAACGGTTGAAATATTGGTAGTACCAATGACAATGGGAAAAGCCAAAAATGGAAAGTATAGTTCGAAAATAATAGATAAAATAGTATTAAAACAAAAATTTAACGGAAGATAGGCAGTGATTGTATCTGCTCTGCTTTTATTCTAATTTTGTGTTATATCATCGAACTTTCGGTCATGATTATTAGGTGCACCCCTATCAAGTAGCTTGTATTCATCAATAAGGCTGAGTTTACATAGCCAATGATTTCATAAGCTGATAATCACATCTTGGTTTATCCATCTGTAACTTTCTTCTAACGTAGTCTTGTTTTAAAAGTTATCGGATGCCAATAGATATCGGTGTCTGGACATACGTAACACATCCCGAACACTTCAATCGATGGAACACTACGTTTCTGCCACATTACTTGACTGTTCAGATTTGATTTGCAGGTATAGTTCCACGACGGAAGTGTGAATTTCCTCTAATTTGTAAAATAACTCCATTGGTATGAAATATCTCTGTGAGTCTATGGACGACTTTTGAGTGACTCTAGAGTGGTCTTCAGAATACTTACTAGGATAAATTGAGGGTCATAAATTAGTGTGACTTATTAAAATTAAGATTTACAATTGAACGTTAGATTTTTCATCATAAACCGACACCATTTATAATGCCGAAATACTATTTGGCCATATGAATGAACGAATTTTTGCGTCAAAATTAAAGACATGCTATCATAAATCTAACTGGTTCGCCCTTCATTAAAAATATTACTGATAAAAGAGGCCAATGGTAATGATTTTGTACTAGTGTTCTATTTCATTTTTCATAAAAATATAATGAAACTTGTTTACTAAAACAAATTCGATTTTGGTTTCATCGAAGAAAAAATAAAAAAAAAAAAGATAGAAAACTGTATCTTCAATTAAATGTTATTCTTGTTCATGTATTTATTGATCATACAGTTTTTCTTTTCTGTTTCTTTCTTTCTTTCTCTTTTTGTCTTATTCCTTCAAAATAAGCTCATTTGTTTTATTGTATGGTATACACTTCTTTTAAGAATATAAAATGAATTGAATTTTAATCAACATCAAATTGGTAAGAAACTAGCAATAATGAGAATAGCTATCGTTTTGTTGTTGTTTTATTTCATTTCATTAGAGATCATGTTATTCCAATCTAATATTATCATTATTATTTACAATAGTTTAACTTTTTTTTTATTCATTTCTATTACATTAATCTATTCTTCTCATCTTAAGATCACATTTATCATTACAGGTTTTAATCTTCTAATTTTCTTCAGCCTTGAGTGCTGTTAAAAGTATGAGGGCGGTTATCATTTCCCGGTTGCTCACACCATGGAAGGGTTCTTCTGGATGTGGCCTTAGTGACTTAAGAGCTTGACCGCAGTGCCTAAGGGACAACTTCTTGAAGTCGGTCACACATGACCTTTTGTGAGTAGCTGTCGTGTTAGATCTGTACTTGTTGAGACTTTACCGCCAAGGAGGATATCCGTGGGATAAGGCGAGGTGTGCATTTTTAGGGTTGACCTTTTCTAACCCCACTCCTCCTTGTGGGAAGGCAGCATCTCTGTTATGCTGGTTGTCTGAAGGAAACACCTTACTGCTGTCACACCTTTGTACAGTCAGCAGTACGACTTCGCCTTCGGACCTTGGTTTTGTTGCTTTTAGTCTTGCCGCCCTTCAACCGACCTGTGTGGCATGGTAGGACCTTGAGAAACGATTGTTCCAGCCAGTATAGCTCGATTTGTTTATCACGATATATATTGTTCAATATTTTGGTTCTTTTTACATGATTTCTAATCTTGACGTTACTTTTCTAACGTTACTAGTGTTGGTAATAGTTGGAAGACAGTTAGGGGATGCCAAACCAAAACGTGGCATCAGTGCTTGAAGTCACTAACTTCTGGCCTGAGCCATGTTGGTAGATGCAGATTACTTGGATGTGGTCCGTGTGACTATCGTAACCAATGGCTGGAGACTCGGAGTGACATGGCTCAGAATCAATCACAATGGTGTAGGTGTATACACTATTTGTCTTCCTTTAAACTAAGAGATTAAAATCGCTTCATATCTTTCTTTCTACCAATTAAATCTTTCTTCTTGTACTATATCCTCATATGGAATCTTCCTTTTATGTATTACCACCATTGAATTAACTACTATGAATTTGGTGTTCATCTTGTTCTACTAATGAGATATGGCAACTTGAACCGATGCATATATGTGCCTGGTCCTACGTTGTAGCTGACTGACTTTTCTAACTTTAACTTTGTATGGATAAGTTATACGTTTGACGTTTAAGATCAATTTGTAGAATGTTTTGATTATAGATTTTGATGGTTGCTTGTAATTCTCTCGTCTAAAAATCTTGAAAAATCTATCCCATACTTTTGTATTCAGCGCGGTTTGAACGCATATCATTTAATACAATCGTGTAGTTATGTTATTCTGGCTACCAAATAACTTTCTGTTAGTGATAAATGATTGATTGTAATTCCAACTGATAATGTACTTTTCCACAATCAATCGGTCGTAATAAATAACGACCAAATGTCATGTCCATTTAGCCCTTATCAATGGTCGACAGGATTTGATCAGCATTAAAGTATCAGTTATTATTCGGTTGTAAATTTTTCAGTCCTACAGTAGGTCAATTATAACCTAGCAGATCAATAGTAACTTCTCAAACTGTAAAGCTAGGTGATACAAATTTGATTTCAGCGAGGAAAATTAATTACTTGACATACATGACATTGATCACCACCCATTGATCAATCAGTTGTGATTACATCTCAGTCTTATAAGAGGTCAATTGCGGCCCAGATACCCCAGTGGTAACGTCCCTTACTGTGAAGCTGGGTGACACGGGATCGAATCCGTCAGGGAGCACTAGCTCACTCAAGATTACAGGTACACCTTGCTGACGAGTGCGAAGTAGCATGAAACCGGGGTTTCCTGTTGAATACCTTCAACCACCATCTTATCTCAACATAGTGCATGAAATATCGAGTCACCTAGACTAGTGGCCACATTGCAACTTGGTCGATAGCATTCAATCTGCATCAAGAAGAAATTGACACACATGACATTGTTCTCAACATAGTTCACGCGTTTTCCATTCAGTCAAACTAGTTTACACATTGCAACTTGACCGATAGAATTTGATCAGTGCTAAATGACTAGATAAACCGAACATTTGGTCATTAGTAATCAACCAATTGTATTTTGTGAATATTTAGGTAACTTAAGTTGCTTTGAATTAAACAAAAGTTCCATTTTTTTTGTTGTTGCTTCATTCATGTTCGTGTGCACTTTGATGATAAAAGATCAGTTTGATTGTGTTGGAAATGTTAAATCGTCATTTTGTCACTTTTATTGTGTAAACTTTCATTCCTGTTTTCTTGTTTTTGCATTAAAACACACTCCACTAGAACCATTATTTTTACTGAATTAAAAAAAAATATTTCCTCTTATTTGCTGATTGCTCTTTCAGTATGTTAATTGCTTACTACATTTTTGTAAATGTATTTATACACCTACCTAAATCAATATTATTTGGTTCTGATCAATATATCTTCCTTGTAAAACTTACTTTTGAAATAGTTAGATTCATAGAAAGAGAATAAATTCATAATATCTAGGACTATCTGAATTGTATTTACGAATTAGTATTATGTAGTTGAATACACACGTTTGATGCATCAATACTTCTATCGACTCATTGTTTATATGTGGACAGTTCAAAAATGTTAATTAAGAGTAATTCCCAATTCTGTAGGAATTTTTTTAAAACATATTAGTAACAATAAGCTTATTGAACTCTGTCTGATCTATTATGTTCACTGATAAATTAGGAGCAAATTGAACTATCCATTCATGTCTAATGACATTCATTTATATTGTGTTGTTTGGCGACAGGTAGCAATAAATCAATTACCTCTAGGTTTTTGTGTTAGTTGACATTCATCAGAAAGAATGATTTCCAATCTCGAGGTGGGGATCACGTTCACTATGGGAAGTGATGTCACAGTTGGAAATGTTACCACTTTTTTTATAGTGTGGGTCCCTCATCAGTTCTTTTAAAGATCGTGAATAAATTAGCTTGCCTATAGTTTCCCGATTACGTTGGGAAAAAAATAACTCATTTAATTCTAATAGTTGAGGTCATCAGTCAATTGAAGCTAGACCATCATGGAAAACCTGGAAGCACTGGATGGCCGCTTCGACCTATTGTGGGACTACTAAGCAGTGCGCATCCACGACCCTCGCGCGCAAGCACTTAACCACTAAATCACTGAGCCGGAATCCAAAGGTGTTAATGTCTAACTTCAACTGATAGGTCCTGGGTTCGAATCTCACGAGGCGGGGTCGTGGATGCGCACTGCTTAGTAGTCCCACAATAGAACGAAACGGCCGTCCAGTGCTTCCAGGTTTTCCATAGTGGTCTAGCTTCAATTGACTGATGATCTCAACTATTGAATTTACTACAATCTCCACAAAACCCCTTCTGATATCAATTAATCCCGTTTTAATATTAAACCACATATAGCGGTGACTAAAGTGTAACTTAGTCAATAGAGCTTGATCAACACTAAGAGTTGCGTAACATTACCTTAGTTATTAGATTTTTATTCAGTTTTGAACATTATTTATTAATGCTACAGATAACCAATTCAAGTTAATTTAATATGAGTTTTGTTCTGTTCTCACTTGTATAAAATGTTTTATAGTTCACATCACTGACAGACCTTAACTATATAATCCTTGAAATCAGGATGCACTAGACAGTTTTTTTATCCTTATGTGGGACCCTTCAGCACCACGAATCCACTATAGATAGATCATCGGATCCTCAATCACTTTTTGAAATTAGTCACTTCCGATGTTGTAGTGAGAAACTGTGACCGATGCAGATCAACTAATTTTGATGTGAAGCAGTTACCCATTGACGTTGAATGATTTTTTTTAATATATCGAGTCAGTTTGAAGTTAACCAATTAAACCAATGGTTAGCTACTCAGTGACATGAAAGTTAAGCGCCAGTCACAAGACCTGACGTTCCTGAGTTTGACCTCTGTTGGAGTCTGTATTAATATACTCATACTAGTTTAAAACAAAACTCCGCCTGGAGTCCCTCCGGGGGCTACTGCCGGTCCCAAGCCTGGATAAAAGAGGAGGGTTGGGCATGGGGTTAGCGACCCCATCCCGTAAAAAACTAACTCGCTAAAAAAACGTTAGCCAGAAAGAAATTATTCAAACCAGTATAAAACAAGTATCTGGTGTTCCATAATTTTTAATGTTTGTCTAACTAGTATCAATCTCGGATGTAAACTATGGAATTTGATTATCTTCACAAAATTCCTATGATAGTAAAAATGTTTTGGTTGGATTACAATTGAATATTTCAAGGATAGTCAAAATCCATTTTGTACTATCTCTTACTTAGTGATATCGTCTTGTTGTACTCAACAATATGTAATGCAGTCTGTATTCGTTTCGAATACTATCACCATTTTAATAAGCTTAGATTACTGGTGGGTGCTTTAGAAATGATAATATTTTGTCTTCTAAACTGAATAGTTTAATTATCATTTTAAATAAAATCATCAACGTCTATTTTGAATATAAGTAGTTTGAGATTACTTACATTAGAAGGACTGCATGCTTACTCTTTTAAAATCTTATAGTCTCATTTTATCTGCTAACAACCAAAAAGGAAGAGGGTTGAATAATAGTCCAAGAGCCATGTATAAGATAATCCTGTTACTCTCATACTATCTGGCTTCTTAATTAATGAATTACTATTGCTGTTACCCCCCACATTTTTTTGTTATATTAAATTATTATTTGAATATAACATAGTTTATTGAAACTGTAATTTCTTTGTTTTGTTTTTCTTGATTTGACTTCTAGCACGGTGAAACAGATCTCAATATTCATGGTCGAATCGGTGGAGATGGGAAGCTTTCTGAAAGAGGTGAACTAGTAAGTTCTTTATATACCATATTGTATCCATGCATGATTTTAGTTTCAGTCTTTTAATAACATTGTTTTTGGCAACATATAACAAATTTAAAGTTATTTGTATATTTTTTTATTTTTAAAAATTTTAAAATATCAACATTGTGTTTATTATCAAGTAGATAATGAACAAGTAGATTATTAAAACACATGTCAACTTTTTAGTCATCATTACTGGGCTAGACGTGCAAGACGTTTCTTTTCTATTTTACCAGTATTGTAAGTGTTTTTGTCACATATATGTAGACTGGTAGACACAATTGTAAGTGATAGAAGATGGAAATTTATATCCACTCTTATCTATCTCAATAAGTAATATGCTTGACATAGGAAAATTAGTTTAACAGCTGGTGTTATAATTCTTTCTTACTACAACCCAGTTATTCCTATTGCTTCGTATTCTTGGAGTCCAATTGACTCGATAAGTCCCCAAATCAGAACACAGTTGCACAGGAAAGAGATCATATTCCAAATAACAGGGCTAGATGGAAGTAAAAAACACAATAAGAAAAACGTTAGTATATTTATAGTTTTTACATGAGAAGATTCTAGAGTGTTCTCCAAGTATCGACTAGCGCTGATTGAATAAGAATTAGCCAATCAGCATGCGCCAAAGCATCCGTGCATTGAGCATGCTTTAATCCGATTTATGTCCCGCTAACAACTGGATATGCTTTGTTCAATGCAACACTTAGTCTAAAATTAATCTTTCCATTTATTTGATCACTTTAAAAGCTAATTTAGTAAATAGATTAACTTTTTATTTATCATAACATATTCCATTCCATTCATTCTTGCTTTGTTTTACTTAGTGGTAAACTTTTGTGCTTAATCATTATGTTGAAGGTATTTTCCAATTATGGGTAATTCTTCTTTAATGACTTAATCATTATTATGATTATTTCTTGACCGTAAGCAGTTGAAGTGAATCCTTTGTTCAAAGTGTTTGCGTGTTTTGTTTTCGAGGAAATTCTTACTCCACTAACTTTATATGGTGTTTAGAAGAACAGAAGTGGATACCAGTCAGTTTAATCAAACTAGTGGATATAGAATGTTTATTTAAGTGATTTAGAAACCCTTAATTCTAAACGAATGGTATTTATTTATTTAAACACATAAACATAGGTACATGAAGGCACAAAATAGATAAATCATTCGATTTGTGTGAGGGCTGGGATGTTGCCCGAGTGCCCAAACAAAAGCAGGTGGTTTTCTTAGGAGGCGACACCCGGAACCTTTTACCTAAAGGTCTGATCCACAAGGTAGTGGACCAACGTCAGAAGATGCAGTCCCATAATAGCCGGTGACCAACGATAGGTTCATACACCATTTGTTTCATTAGGATCCTGTTGATCATGTGCACCATTGGTTTGGAATCAGGGTTTCCTAACTCCCTAGGTGACTCCTCTTCATCCATCAACCCAGTCCTCTCAATTTGGTACACAACAGTAATGCTGTGAGAAGGCAGTGAATATGACTTTCCTGGTAGTGGTTGTATACACGTAGTCATGTAAGAGTATTTCGAGAGGGAGAGCTGAATCTCTGCAGTCTCGGCATTTGGGGGCAATGGTATTTATAAGCTTTAGAGTTAGAAAAAAAAAGAATGATATACGCATTTAATTTGATCAATAGCTATCATTTTCTCATATTTTCACTAGCATATAGATTATATTTTTTTATAGAATTCTTGATGAGTAGTCATTTAAGAAAACCACTTTCCTCAGTTTAAATCTCTGAGCAGTATCGCATCTCACTTACAGGTAACCATAATTTTCAATAAAAACAAACAAACAAACATTCTTCAGTCATCTTTCATGAGTTAAATAATTAAAAAAACAATATCATTGCTTCTAATAGTAATCCATGGTAAAATATGTAGGGTATTTAATGTTTTGCATGAATGGTTATTGTTGTTCTTTTGTTCTATCTAAACTGAATGGTTTAATTGTAAATCAATCTATCATTATCATTTCTAGAATATTTTTAGTAGTGAAATTCATGAATCGATGTAAGCTAGACCACCATTGAAACCATGTAAGCACTAGACGGCTGTTTCTTCCCTGTATGAGACTCCTCAGTAGTACACATCCACGTTCCTGAACTAAAGGAACTCGAACCCAGCAATTTTGGTCTCGTGCAAAAACCCTTAACCTTTAGATCATTGAATTCAACCATTAAAAGTTACTACAACCTCCATAAACTCCATTCTGATTATAATTTCAAGAATAATCTTATCATTAGTACGCTAATTCAAGTAATAATATTTATGTTCAACTGATCTATCTTATAATTGTTACTTGATTCAACATAGTTAGTTGTTCTCTCATTATTCATTTTACAAAAAAATTTACTGTTTTCTTTTTTTTCAGTATGCTAAAAAACTCTCAGCATTTATGGAACAAGAAAAGTTAGAAAATCTTAAAGTTTGGACAAGTCATTTTAAGCGTACTATTCAAACTGCTGAACATATTCAATGTTCACAGATATGTTATTGGAAAGCATTGGATGAATTGGATGCAGTAAGTTTCATGTATATTAGTTCATATAATATAATTAATCATATCGGGCTTACGATAGCATATCATTAATCACATTAGATGTTAGTTAGTTCAATTTGTCATATACAATTAGCATAGCAACGTGAAATTGTCAGGGTGAATCCTAGAGTAATAAAGGTAGTAATAAAATTAATGAGAATAGGAGGGATTTGACATGTAAAATTCAATGCGAGAAGGAAATACAGATTAGTAAAATAATAATAAAATGTTATGGAGGATTTAAAAACTTAAGATCTAAGGAAAGAAAAAGAGTGAAAGCACCTGCATAATTAAGAACGCCTTTGAGTAGTCATTTACAGTCTTTAACCATTGGTTACGATAATCATATGGACTTCAAATAGGAAGTCTCTTACCTACATAGCTCAGTCCAAAATTCAGTGTCTATACAGACTGATGCTGTAAATTATTTTGGCAGCCCCTAGCTTTCTTCCAATCTACTACTACATTATCCATCATCTCCTTAACCATCTCAGTTGATAAAGATTTCTCACCTCTTCAGTTAATTTGCCTCAATGAATATTATATCTAACCTCCGAATTACTAAATCAATGGTCCGAAAATACGAGAATAATAGTTTAAAGGCGATTCTGATAGAATACTAATAACTTATGTGACCTGAAAGTCATGAGTTCGATCCTTGATGGGGTTACTGTTGGTTGCTGACGACTAGTGCTAAGATCTTAATAACTACCCAGTATTTCCGGGTTTTCAGGGCTTTTCTAGTTAAGACCAGTTCATGATGCACAACTTTAAATTATCCAACTGTTTAACTATATAACTATAACTTTTTTTCATGTTATAGTTTCTATGCAGATCAGTTGTATTGTATTATTGTATTGTGTTATAATCGTTAACATGCTATCGGGCATATCTGTCTCATTCTTTCATTATGTCTTGACATCACTCGATTCACAATTTTTCGCCAGAATACTCCTAATGGAATACATATTTCAAAATCACCCACTGATAGTGAACGTATAATTATGATCATAGTGAGAATTTAAGAGGAGGTTAACCCTTTAGAGGGACGATGAATGAACTTTACTGAGGAGTTTCAAATGAGAATGAAACAGCGATCATATAGTCTCTCGATTTTTGAATTAGTTTTCCAGATAATATCAGCCTGTGATAAATGTTATCTTTAATAAATTCTAACTTGAAGTTATAAGCAACGTTATCAACGTTCAGTAAGTGTGTTGTATCCATTACTTTCAGTCAGTTTCCTGTCGATTTATTGAGCAATTTATCCATATTAGGGTGTCATTTTCATTAAAGATTTCACCTCAAATAACTGGAGTTATCCACAACTCAGCTCAACATTTCGAATCAAAAACACTTATATGGTAAACTTTTATACTTTGAATGAAATTTTTAATAAAGATTTTATTCTCACATTAGGTAAATACAAGAATTACAGGATGTACTGGATTCTGCATACTTATTGAACCTTAAAATCATTACAGATGGTTTCGGTCTAAATTGTTATATTTTAGACGTTAATCAACATCACTTGTTAGATACATCAATCAGAATTCCAGTTTTAATTTTCCTAACCCACGTAAGCTGTTACGTCTATATTTTAGTATCTTAAGCATTGACCAATGGTGCTTCCCGATGAACATGATTAGTCTTGAGGGGCCACTAACGTACACTTCTCTCCTATTGATCCATTGATTCCTAGAGTAAAGTCCGAATAAGACATGATAACATTCAAACTTCTATCACTTTTTTTATTATTATTATTCCAATCACCCATGGATTTATCTAGAACTATAACGAACTGCATCACACCATAAAATAGTAAATCATAGTTACACATATATAGACCTAAAGTATTAGTGTCAATCAGTAACAACGTAGAACTTCGTACGTAAGTACATCAGTTGGAGTTGACATACCATATTAGCACAGAGATACAGTTGTCGATTCAAATCCCATAGCGGTAGAGGTAGTAAAAGTATAAGCAGTAATCGGGAAAATTAAGGTGTGAAGATGTTATTCAAGGAGTATAATCCAGTGAAATAAATTTGGAAAGAGAAAAAGGAAGAAACGGACATGAAGAATTCAGAAAATTACAATTAAGGAGAACACAAAAGTCGATGCACTTGCACACAACATTGCAAACGATTTTGAGTCATGTCATTCAAGGTCTCTAACCATCGGTCGCTACCATGTCGTGGATCTCAATCAGATAGTTTACACCTACCAACAACATGGCTCAATTTTTTTTTTGATGGAGTTTTGATCTCTGAGCTGAATGGTTTGGTCAACAAAACTCCATCAAAATCATCCACGACCAAACCATCCAGCTCAGAGAACAAAACTCCATCAAAATCATCACGACCAAACCATCCAGCTCAGAGAACAAAACTCCATCAAAATCATCCACCTGACCTACAAATCTTCTCCACCATCTCAACATGGCTCAATCTGCTTGTCAGTGACTTCATCAATTTGTTCAATGTTTTGTCCTGGCCACCCTTAGTTTTCTTCAAACCTACTCCTACACCATAAAACATCATACATCGAGGCAGTGAATCAATCTATAAGTGAAGTGTTCAATGAACAATAATTTTTTAATAATAAAATGTATACCATTAGTTATTAGGTTACATAGGAGCTTACAATAAAACAGAATATAATTAGATAATCGTCTCGTTATATCTTTAGTAATTATTATTAAAAAGGAATTTATTTATTCATAATCTATAAAAATAATTTCTAAGGTTACTATTTCTTTCATTATTCTCTCTATTACATTAGTTGGCATAAGTAATATAAAATAATATTCCAATGTTCTTCTTTAATTCTCGGACATTTAAATATGTTTGTATCAAATTAGTAGATGATTATTTCTTTACAAAAAAAAGACAAACTTATCCAAAATATTGATTTAACTTAAATGAATAGAAATAGTTTGTAGTTTAGTCGATTATATGGAGGGAGACCGATGTTGATGGAGGGGGGGGACGGTTGGAATTAATGAGTTTTTTTTTGAATAGATAATTGAGTATTGGTCTTATTAGTATTGAAAACATTAGTGAAATTGATTCAGGAAACATAATACATAATTATATTATTGAAATTCTGTTTATTTTTTATAATTTTCATCTAATTATGTATTCAGTGACAATATGAGATAACATAGAATATTGCTTAATTAACAAATAAATTGAAGTTAGACAATAACATCGTTAAATGCTGGTTCAATGGTCCAGAGGTTAAGTGTTCGCGCGCGATAACAAAGATATTGGATTCGAGTCCATTTGGTGCGGGATCGTGTATCTATACTACTGACGAGTCTCATGCTAGATTATTTATTTGAACACATATATATTGGTACAAGGAGGCACCATATACATGTGCGCCACACAAATCTCATTTGGTTTGTGCGAGGGCTGTGATACTGCCCGGGCGCCCGAACCGAAGCAGGTGGTTTTATTAGGCAGCCACACTTAGAGCCTTCTACCTAAAGGTTTGATTCACAATGCAGTGGAGCATCGTAAGGAGATACAGTCCTATGGTAGCCGGTGACTAACGATTGGTTCATACACTATTTGTTCCATCATGATACTGGACCCATGTGCACCACTGGTTTGAAATCAGGGTTTTCCAACTCCCCTAAGTGCCCCCAAATGCCCTGGTATGGCCGAGAGTGGGGGGAGTCCGCTCCTCCTCTCGAAATGTTCTCACATGGCCACGCGTATACAGCCCCTGCCAGGGAAGTCCTACTCACTGCCTTCTCGTGGCGGGGGTGTTGTTTGCGAAAATGAGAGGACGAAAAGCGAATGTCTGGCGCTATAACCGGGACTGCATCTCCTCACGATGCTCCACTGCCTTGTGGATCAGATCTTCAGGTCAAAGGCTCGGGGTGTGGCCCCCTAAGAAAACCACCTGCTTCGGTTTGGCACCCGGGCAGTATCACAGCCCTCACACATATCAAATGAGATCTGTGTGGCGCATATGTATTTGGTGCTTTCTTGTACCGATATCTATGTGTTAAAATAATAATAATAATAATAATAATAATAATAATAATAATAATAACTCCCCTAAGCAGACCCTCCATATCCACCAACCCGGTTAAGGCGCGGAACATTCGCTTTTCGTCTTCTGAATTTCGTAAACAACAGTAATGCCACGAGAAGGCAGTGAATAGGACTTCCCTGGTAGTGGTTGTATGCACGTGGCCATGTGTGAGCATTTGGAGAGGGAGAGCTGACTCTTCCCACTCTCGGCCGTACCAGGGCATTTAGGGGGTCTCATGCTAGAACTAGATGGCCGTCCAGTACTTCCAGGTTTTCAATGGTCGTCTAGTTTAAATCGACTCATGTATTCAACTATGAAAATACTATAATCTCCACAAATTCCAATACAAATAAGTAAATACATAAATAATTAAATAGGTCATAATTTCCAAATACATTTTAGACAGTTGCAGGTATGAATTCATTCTGTTTTGAAATAATCTACAATAATTCTTAATTACAAACAATTGTGTTGTTGTAATGAATAAAATTGGATTACATACAAAACTAGATAGATTGGACGAATTAATAGACACCCGGGCAGTATCACAACCTACACACAAATCAAGTGACTTGTATATCATATATGTATTTGGTGCCTCTTTGTACCTATATAAATGTGTTCAAATAAATAAATAAATGACAATAACAATATTTACTTATACAATTTGTTATATCCCGATGAGAATAATGAATGGTAGTTGTTGGAATCTATTTCTGGAGTAATACTATACGTATATTTTTTTATCGTATAATTGTTAAGTAACTATACGTATTCGTGTTCCTCTTATTATAAGCTTTATTTTGACCTATGAACTATTATTATACGATTTACCATTCTTAAGTTATGCTCAGTTTATCAATTACTATCTCTCACATTCACAGCCAAATTTGGCCAAATCTTGTACAAACGTTGTTTCCTATTTTATGGTGCGATGTGGTCTGTTTGGCTTGTATATAAACCAAGTATGTTTGAAATACATGATTCGTACAATGGAAGCTGATATTAGTGTTCTGGTTTGAACAGGCATGACTACGCTGGATGAAGGACAAATAAAGACTTTAAACTGTTCTTACAGGTTTTATGCTTGATTGGTTCGGTCGATAATCCACTGTTCTCTAATTGGTTGTCTCATTACGTTATACATTGATAGGAGCAATACCTACAAGTTATAATACAATTGAAAATAGGAAACTCATGAATTGACAATTAAGCTTGTGATTTAAACGATGATAAAATTATTCTTCTGTATATTTTAACAAGAAATATCATCACTTTAGGAGCATCATAGAATGAATAAGCTCAAAACCAAAGAAATACCTAATCAAATCAGATAATAATCATAAAATTAAATAATGTAAGATCTTTCTAGCCCCAGGATCAAAGTTGACTACAAAAAAATCATTTTACATTGAAAGTAAATCATTAATACAATACTTATGTTCAACTGATCTGATATATTCCTTTTCTGTTCAGATCTAATTTAGAGGTAGTGATTTTTTTCCTTCTCTACTATTAGTTTTATCCTAGATTTAATCTTGTAGTACTGTTATTTTTATTCTATTCATAATTTATAAGGGAGTTTGTGATGGTATGACATATGAAGAGATTCATGAAAAATATCCTGACGATTTTGCACGACGTGATGGCAATAAATATTATTATCGTTATCCAATGGGTGAGGTAAGTATCAAATCGTTTTTTTTTTCGTTTTATTTTGTCTTTCTCTTTCACAAATTTTTTTTAATCGGATCAGTAATTCTTTTTTTTTTTGGTTCAGTCTGTCAGATTCAAAGTAGCCATTCGGTTTAAAAAGGCGGAGCTATGTGTATGGAAGAAATATCTTCGACCGGTTCTCTTACTTTAGCCAACCTTAGTGTCAATTAATTACTAGTAGTAAATTTAACTATTTAATGATTTAATTTTTCTAATATATATATATATATATATATATATATATATATATATATATATATTAAATAAGAAAGATTAGTTCAGCGAAGAGTTCTCTTTTCGGTGAATTCATTTTCAAAGCTGTACAATCACAAGTATGTATACTCGCTGAACTAATTTTATTTAATGTTTCAACGGGTGTATTCCGTTTATTAAAAAATGATTATATATATATATATATATATATATATATATATATATATATATATATATATATATATATATATATATATATATATATATATATAACCTTTCTCAGTCAAGGATATTTGTCTTTGTAATCTTTATATACATATTGAAATGCTAGAATGAAACTGCCGTCTAGTGCTTCTAGATTTTCAGTAGTGGTCTAATATTGATCGGTTCATGATTTCATATCTCTTGGAACAATAATTAACTTCTGTAAGATATCCTTAATACATTCCAGTCAATTTCCAGATAATAATTAGCAGTTAATAAATTGTAGTAACTCGGTAAAATACTAATTCAAATTTATTACAAGGTGTTAATTACTGTGGTTTAAATAGTTTTTTTTTTCTGGCTGGTGTTTGGTTTTTACGGGATGGGGTTGTTGACCTCATGCCCAACCCTCCTCCTTTACTCGGTCTTGGAATCGTCAATAAACCTAGAAGAGCTGCAGGTGAAATTTTGTTAATTACTACTTATTATAATTTGTAAAGTTAATTAATAATATGTAAAATATGTAAACGCATATGTGTATAAATTGTACCAGTGTCTTCAAAGCATTATTCGAGTGAGTACTACTTAGATCAGGTTGTGTGTACACCAAGCCCAAATACTTACTTACTTACGCCTGTTATCCCTCATGGTAGAGCATAAGCCATCCATCAGCATTTTCCATCCGAATTCGTTGCATTAGTCAGTCAGTCAGCTACAACGTAGAACCAGGCACATATATGCATCGGTCCAAGTTGCTATATCTCATTAGTACAACAAGATGAAGATTTAGTTGACAGAAAGAAAGATATGAAGCGATTTTAATCTCTTAGTTTAAAGGAAGACAAATAGTGTATACACCTACACCATTGTGATTGATTCTGAGCCATGTCACTCAGAGTCTCCAACCATTAGTTGCAATAGTCACACGGACCACAACCAAGTAGTCCGCATCTACCAACATGACTAAGACTAGAAGTTAGTGACTTTGTGGACTAATGCCACGTTTTGGTTTGGCCTCCCCTAACTTTCTTCCAACAATCCCCAACACCGTTTAGCATTGCACGTCGTAGTAATCGGTGTTCAGGCATACACAACACGTGGTCCAACCATCTCAGTCGATGAAGATTCAGAATGTCATCAACTGATTTACCATCATTTCTTAATATACTGTTGCCTAACCTCACTATTACTTACCCGGTGATCCCAATAGATGTCAGCATTAATTAATAGTCCCATAGACTTTAATTGATTAAATCGATTGATAGTTATGTTACATATATACCAGTCCCCACTGGTTACTTAAATGCTTGTTATACCGTTTAACATAGAAGTAAATAAAAAAAAGAAAACATAAAGAACCCGATCTTAATAATAAAATAAATATTTGTTTTTGATACCTAAATAAGTAGAAATTTGTCTTATTGCTACTTCACTACTTAATTTAAGTCACTTCTTCAGAATAAATAAATAACTAAATTAAAATTAACATAAGTTTACATGGTATGGTATTAAGGAAACAATACCACGTTTTTCTAGTACAATCAAAATTAAAATATGTCTGGACAAGTTTATGTCAAATTATTTTGGTCAAGGTGATTATCTATGAATCATAACCATGTTTATTTGTTTATATGATGGTGGTTGTGAAAAATAAGTGTAATTTTGTGGTATAAAGGAATTAAATGAACGCTTCAGTATTAGTGTAGATTATGTGGACAATGAATGATGGCTCAGTGGTCTAGTGTCTTGATCCTTCAGCTTGTTTTCTTTTGAAGTAATGATCTTAGTGTGTCATATTAATAAATTGAAAGCCAGGGAAATTTGCGGAGTAGAAATTGATGTACCGATTTGGATGTGTTGGTTCTCAGCACATATACATACATACATACATACCAAATGTATTTGTCGAATACATTCTATATAATCAAATGGTTAACAGAGTAAAAATAAAGACAAGCTCTGTACTCATGTTCAAATCAGTTGTCCCTATTGTTTTATAATAATTATATATTTTCCTTTCCTTTACTAAAAGCAATTAATGTTATTAGCGAATGCAATTATAGTTTATAGGCGGAAATAATGTTTTATTCTCGTTTCGGAATATGATTATAGAAAAAAAACACCATTGTAAATCCCCAATTAGCTAGTCAATCATTTTATTTAATAGCTTTCCTCCCAATCTGTCTGGTCTTCAGCTATCATTGAATTTGTATTAGTCCATGTAAGAAAGTAGTTATCAAATCATATTGACTTGATATTTCGGTTGTATAGTCCGTAGGAAATATTAGGTTTTGTGTTTGTTATCATTGACTAAGATGATGATGATAATGGTTGTACTTGTAATTTCAACGTCTATTTTGTTTTGGGGATCTTGTATTAGTGGCTTGTCGACGTTTTACAGTTAGGAATGTTAATTCGTGCTTCTACAGCTGCCAAACTCAATTGTGTATATAGTTCTAGATTATTTTATTATTTATAACAATCTACCCAACCCTCAATTTATTCGAAGTTATCAGATCAAATCTTGATAATGATACCTATAGTTCTAGATTGTTTTAACGCATCGCAATACACCCTATTAAATCGATGAATAGAAGTACAATCTATAAAGGGTTACCAACCACAGATATCATTAGGTCTGTACGCTAGCGATGTAGATCATGTTAGGGAATTGAAAATAGCGAGAAATCTTAAACCTGCTGACACACTTCAACAAGAAATACCTAGAATCTCCAAGGTGGTTGTACTTGTAATTTCAACGTCTATTTTGTTTTGGGGATCTTGTATTAGTGGCTTGTCGACGTTTTACAGTTAGGAATGTTAATTCGTGCTTCTACAGCTGCCAAACTCAATTGTGTATATAGTTCTAGATTATTTTATTATTTATAACAATCTACCCAACCCTCAATTTATTCGAAGTTATCAGATCAAATCTTGATAATGATACCTATAGTTCTAGATTGTTTTAACGCATCGCAATACACCCTATTAAATCGATGAATAGAAGTACAATCTATAAAGGGTTACCAACCACAGATATCATTAGGTCTGTACGCTAGCGATGTAGATCATGTTAGGGAATTGAAAATAGCGAGAAATCTTAAACCTGCTGACACACTTCAACAAGAAATACCTAGAATCTCCAAGGAACCTGGGTGCTCCTTGTTGGATCTTAATCTTACATCACTTAGTTTCATAGTCTAAGATTCTATTATTGAGCCGGTAAGAGTAGAGGATATTCGTAGGTTACTAGTATTCGATTATAGATGTCTTCGAAACATCCCTCGTATATCCTGAGACCACCGAGCAAGTAATGCAGTTGTTAGGAAACGGATACTAGGTAAAGATGGCGAATCGATTGATGAAGTAATTAAACTTCATCAATTGAGATGGCTAGGACATGTGTTACGTATGCCCAACCTCCGACTGCCCCGACGTACGATGTTTTCTGGTGTCGGAGTAGGTTGGTAGAAAGCTAGGGGTGGCCAGGACAAAACATTGAACAAATTTTCCCGATTACTGCTTATACTTTTACTACCTCTACCACTATGGGATTTGAATCGACAACTGTATCTCTATGCTAATATGGTATGTCAACTCGAACTGATGTACGTACGTACGATGTTCTACTTTGTTACTGACTGACTGACCCTTCCAATGTCTATTTGCTTCAATATATTGTGTTATCATTTAATAAAATTTAAAAAGTCTTCCACAATGTTTGGAAAAGTTTGTAGAATAGTTATCGAAACTTTCTTCAATATATGATAGAAATCTCTATGTTCGTAACATCTTAAATAAGCAAACAATATTTTGAAACTAATTACACAATCCATACCAACTTACAGACACAATCAAGTTGTTATAGAAACGAACGTTACGTGTAAAGTATAGAGATGTAAAGGTGAATTATTGAAAAAAGATGGTATTCATAAATTGTTTTGAGAATTTATTTGCCACAAAGATCATATTGATATGAGACTGTGGTTTGGGAACCCGTTATTCTTAGAGGAACTGAGACATCCTCTCGAAGTGCATATATATATATATATATATATATATATATATATATTCGGGGACAACTGCAGTCCTATTACGAAGTGGTTATATTCATCTACAACTAGAGGGAAGAATACGGGAACTGAGAGTATAAAATAGCATTAGCAAAAGTTACTGTAATAGGTTTATCGTTAAGCACCTTGGTTGTTTTATAACTTATTGATTTAGATAGATATTATTTAAATTAATGAAATTAACGAGATGTGATTTGGTTGCAATATATCTGCAAGAATAAAAGCTTAATAAGTATGCTTAGTTCCAAGTGAGAAGTAACAATCGTTGTAGCAAACAAATAATCTTATTAATCTATCACATATATACTCGGTTGGTTTAGAAAATTCTTCGAATAACTTGAAAGGAATTCAAGAGTCACAATGTTGTTCACATTTTAAGGCAGTATAATCCTAAATCTTCGTTAAAACGTATTGGTGTTGACTTCAACTTTCATTCCACTATGTCGTGTGTTCGAATCCTGTGCTGCATACTTCGATTTTAACATTGGAACAATGCTAAAGTAGGTATCATACAAATTCAAATATGCCCGAATTCATAGTGCATACTTTACTACTAAGTTATGTTTGATTAAATTTTTATTAGTTAAGTTCCGTAAGTCATTTGCAAAATCTCCAAGGTACTGATATAAATCTTATTCTTTCTTTCGACTTTAATCATCATTCTGTGCATAATTCAATTTACCAAGATTATGTCATTTTAATTTTAGCTGTTCAATGTTTAAATTTTCATTATCTTACCGCTCTTCCATGTAGTAACAACTTCATTCCTACTATTAACCGTCCAAGTTAGTTGTTGCTACCGTATATCTATATTTTATTTAAACAAATGTTACCTTTCGCATAGAATATTTCTATTGTCATCATGAATAATTTCTTTACTGTCGGCTCGGATACTTGATTCTTTGCCGTTTTATTTAAGTGTTACCATGAGTATCAATATGAACCTTGTTGAAACATTAAATAATTGTAACATTATCAATAAAGATCTAAATTTTGATCAGTTTTTATAGTTGGGACATGTTTGTATTCTACATTGATTGTCTTGATATATATATATATATATATATATATATATATATATATTATAAGTTTTCTTTAAGAATAGATTAATTTTGGTTTCGAGGATGAGCACTTTTATCTTACGAGAGACCGATCAACTGGATATACCTTTATACTAGTATAGGTGTTCATATTTGGGATAATTTATATCGTTATTAATAATGATATAAACATCATATCTGTTGAACAAATCGGTAACTGTTTGAACTGAATAGCTGATTGGATAATAAGACATTTCATCGAAAGATATTGAATTCTAGCTCTGATGCAAGCAGTCATGCTGAAATGCAGAGATGCACACAGTTAGCTGACATCTCCCTAAATATAACGAAGCGCATCACTTGCTTTCCATTTCTAGCTACAATCTATCTATTCTATAAAACTGAATAATTATCTTATTGTAAATAGAAACTAGCTGACAATATATAAAATTTCATAGTGCTTAATAGTTTAAATGTGATTTAAAACATGAAATTTGTTAGTAAACATACTTGTTTCTTAAGTTGATATGAATATTTATTGTTGATGGTGATCAACGTCTTTTAAGCAAAGTTCTTTTTCATGTGATAGGATTGCTAACTTTATCCCTAACCTTCCTCCTTTATCCGGGCTCGGAATTGACAGAAACTACAACAGAGCTTCAGGCCGAGTGGTGGTTATATTAAATCTATTGTAAAGACTGAAAAATCTCATTATTAAAATGCTGATGTGGTTGTGTTGTATTCACCGGACTGAACGGTTTCTTTTGGGATGAAGCTTTGATTATTTTTATTAGTGAATACTATCAGCTGTAAAATATTTTAAAAGAAAAATTAACATAGTATTCATCATATTTTTGTTATCATCCTAATTGTCGTCTGTGTGCATTTCTTTATTAAAGTCATATCAAGATTTGGTGACACGTTTAGAGCCGGTCATTATGGAATTAGAACGACAAACATCAGTTTTGGTTATTTGTCATCAGGCTGTAGCACGTTGTTTACTTGCCTATTTTGAAGATAAAAACAAGGGTGAGTTTGTATAGTGTTCAATATGTGTTTATATAAGGATGGTTTATTCATTATAGATCGACACTATCGGCTGGGCGAGAGATGTCATTCATTGTAGACTAGAGAACACTGTACAATTTTTTTTTGAGCACCATCCAGGAGTCGAACCTATGTCCACGAATGATCATATTTTTAATATAAGCGAATGATCGAGTTGAATTGGTTATATTATCACCAATCTGCCTAAACTAACTTAGTTACTGTGGAACGTCTGCGAATTAGAGATCTATCGGTTTGAAGACAATTACAGGCGAGACTATAATTTGTGAACAAATTAATGGGACTAAAAATATCTTGAGTTTTGGCGTGAAATTCATTCAACCATATGACTAAATAGCATGTTGACATTATAACTAATTCCAGTTTGTTTGGAAAACCCTAACTCTAATTCCTATCACTAATTTATAACCCTCTTTTGACTTGATTATGTAGGTCAATTCTTTCAAAATCAAATTGGCATAAATTATAATTTAAATTAAGTATGTTAATCACTTCAAATAATATAGAAATAGAAGTGAATCATTCTTTGTGTTAGTTATTTATCGAATAAATGGGTGAATATTTCTAAAAATTTAAGATAGGTTTGATGGAAACTAGAAGTAATCGAATAATGAATTCATTGACTATTCGACTAAGCTTTTTTCAATGAGTAGAGATTGAGATTTATCAATATAGGGTTGTGGAGATTATTATATTATCGATTAAGGTTATGAACCGATTGATGTTAGACCACCATTGAAAACTTGGAAGCACTGGACGGCCGTTTCGTCCTATTATGGGGCTTCTCAGAAGTGCGCATCCACGATCCCTCTTGCGTTCGCGCGCGAGACTGAAGGGCCTGGGTTCGAATCCCACTAGCGGGATCGTGGATGCGCACTTCTGAGGAGTCCCATAATGGAACGAAACAGCCGTCTAGTGCTTCCAAGTTTTCAATGGTGGTCTAACATCAATCGGTTCATGATCTCTTTCGATGACTGAGATTTGCTTGATATCTGCGATCAGTGACTGTATACCTTGAGTAATATGGTTAAGCATTGATCACAGTACAACAGAAGGAGTCACTCTTTATCTTTCTCATAGATCCCCAATATACAGTATTCCATTATATATGATTTTTCGATTGGTTTTTACGAACTATATTCATCTTGATGATTTCATCATATTGTCAGGAAATTGTATAGGAACTTGAACTCACTCATATGTATGATAGTTTCAAATAAATTAAGTATTGGGTAGAAAGTTAATAATAAATTTATTTTTGTTATATCCCAATGAGTAAAACAAAGAATTATATTTTTAACGTTTCGTGACTTCTTCAGAGAAGAAGCGGCTTACATTAAGTCACGAAACGTCAGAAATACAATTTTTCTTTACTCATTGGGATATAACAAAAATATATTGATTATTCACATTTATGATAGGTTAGTCTTTCATTATGACTGATCAATCGTCTTAACCATTCAGTCAATTTCAAGATAACTAGGTAACCAATTACTGTTCTGTGTCATGCTTGATTTTGTGTATGGGCTAGTGAATACTAATGGAATAGATTAGTTCTCGAACTTTCTATTCCATTAGTCAAATCTCAATCTGACTGTGTCTATCATTAATATTTACTACTGTTACTCTTTGTAGAGTATAAGCAGCCGATCAGGATTCTGCCTTCTAGCTGTTCTCATGGGTGATTCATTCTTTTGTTGTCTACCTTCAATTCCCGACTCAGTGTGTTCTTTGGTCTATCTGTTTTATGTTTATCATAAATAATCAGATAACTTTTCCATCTCTACATATATTGATTATTGTAATAAAAATTGAAACCTGTTCATTGTATTCGAGTTAAAAAGTATTGATTGTCACTTATTTACCTTCTCATAAATTTCATCATCTTTTGACAATGGATAAAGAAAATTGATTGAAAAAACCTTCGTTGTTTTTTTGGTTTTACATTCCTTGTCTATATCTAATTCTTTTCTATGAGTGTATATGTGTATATTCTTGTATCTTTTACATACAAGTGTCTATGTTGATAAATATGTTCATTCTTTTTATATATAGATGAGCTACCCTATATTCATGTTCCATTACATACTGTATTCAAATTAACACCGACTGCTTATCGTTGTATAGTTGAACGTGTAAAATTGAATGTACCAGCTGTGGATACACATAGAATGAAACCAGAGGTTAGTTGAAAATTTATTTATTTACTAAATTTTAGTTTGTTTTATTGTTTCTTTTTACATATTTCTATTATTTTAAGTCATTTCGATGAGTCAATCAAGCGATGTTTATTACTCTACATTGATTTCTAAATTTTGTATGGCTGAGAGTGGGGAGAGTCAGCTCTCCCTCTCGAAATGCTCTCACATGGCCACGTGAATTCAACCACTGACAGGAAAGTCTTACTTACTGTCTTCTCGCGGCGGGGGTGTTGTTTACGAAATTGAGAAGATGAAAAGCGAATGTCCGGCGCATTGATCAGGTTGGTGGACAATGAAAGTTCACATAGGGGAGTTGGAAAATCCTCATTCCAAACCACATGGGCTCCTGTATCCTGATAGAACAAATGGTGTATGAACCAGTTGTTAGTCATCAGCTACCATGAGACGGCATCTCCTTACGTTACTCCGCTGCATTTCGGATTAAACCTCTAGGTCCAAGACTCGATGAATGATCCCCTAAGAAAACCTTCTGCTGCGGTTTGGGCTTCCGGACAGTATTCTAGTTCTCACACAAATCGAATGATTTATATAGTGCATATCTATTTAGTGCCTTTTGTAGCAATGTTTATGCTTTTAAATAAACAAAAGAACATTTATATAACGTAGTTAATTAAAATTCGCAAATTAATTGAATAATTTGTATTTGAGGACATTCAGATATCATTGCTGTAAACCGATCAGAATTATATTGATTATTCTTGTATATATATATATATATATATATATATATATATATATATATATATATATATATATATATCCAGACCAGATTGTTCGAAATGCGTATATTATAAATTTTCAGATCAATCCAATTATCTCATTACACTATGTACATACTATTCTGTTGATTATTAGGGAAAGAGAAAAAGATATTAAAAGTGGAATCGATGTAAATTCTTTCATACTACTTAATTCGAATTATTATTTAGTAGTTTGCCAACCATCATTATGTTATAATTTTATTTTCTTATTGTTATATCTCTGTGAGAATAATGAATGGTAACTTTTGGGATCCATTTATAGATCAATACTATACGTATATTGTTGATGTATAATTGTTAAGTAACTAAACCATTCATACTCCTGTTCCTCTTATCACAAGCTTTATTTTCACTCATGAACTATTATTATACGATTTACCATTCTTGAGTTATACCCTGTCTATTAATTACTGTCTCTCACATTCACAGCCACTTTCATCTAAATCTTGTACAAACGTTGTTTCCTATTTTATGATACCATGTTGTCTATTTGGTTGGTATATAAACCCAGTATGTTTGAAATACATGATTCATATCTCGGACGCTGAGATTGATGTTCTGAACTTAACAGAAAGGATTAGGCTGGAAGTAGGACCGGTAAAGACTTTAAACTTCTCGTACGGATTTATACATCATTAGTTTGGTTGATAAACTCCGCTTGGAGTTCCTTTCGGGGGGCCACTGCCGGCCCCAAGCCCGGATAAAGGAGGAGGGTTGGGCATGGGGTTAACGACCACATCCCGTAAAAAACTAACTCGCTAAAAAAACGCTAACCAGAAAAAATTGTTCAAACCATTTAAACTCTACCCTGGGAGTCAGGAGGTCTTCGTTTAGAAGAATTATTACGCCTCATGATGAAAGCCGAGTTTCTTCGGAAGTCACGAGGCCGATGCCCCTTCTGACAACCAGAGAAACCATTTATTTAGGTACATGGAATGCTCGCACAATGTGGGAGACTGGGAGAGTTTTCCAAATTGCTGCAGAAATGAGGAGATACAATTTAGAGGTGCTTGGGATCAGTGAAACACATTGGACGCAAGTTGGACAACAACGACTAGCTTTAGGGGAGCTGCTGTTATACTCCGGACATGAACAAGGAAATGCCCCACATACACAAGGAGTTGCATTGATGCTGTCCAAACAAGCACAAAATGCACTTATAGGATGGGAATCTCATGGACCAAGGATCATCAAAGCCTCCTTCAAAACAAAGAACACGGGGATTACAGTGAACGTCATCCAATGCTACGCGCCTACCAACGACTACAATGAAGACGCTAAAGATCAATTCTACGATAGGCTGCAGTCAATCGTCGTGAAGTGCCCAACAAAGGACCTGACTATTCTGATGGGAGACCTAAATGCCAAGGTTGGAATTGACAACACCGGATATGAAGAGATCATGGGACGACACGGACTGGGAGAAAGGAACGAAAATGGTGAGAGATTTGCAAATCTATGTGCCTTCAATAAACTGGTCATAGGCGGGACTATATTCCCACATAAACGCATACACAAAACCACATGGACTTCACCGTATCACACCACACAGAACCAAATCGACCCTATCTGCATCAACAAAACGTTCAGGAGGACGATGGAGGACGTGAGCACAAAGAGAGATCATCACTTGCTGGTCGCCAAGATGAAATTGAAACTCAAGAGTCACTGGGCAACGGGGAGGACAATATCACAAAAATTTAATACGGCTATTCTTCGGGATAATGACAAACTCAATAAATTCAAGATAACCCTCAGCAATAAGTTCCAGGCCTTTCATGATCTACTCAATGGAGAAGAAACTACTATGGAGAGCAACTGGAAAGAGGTAAAAGAGGCAATCACTTCAACATCTCATGAGGTTCTGGGCCAAAAAAAGCACCATCACAAGGATTGGATCACGGTCGATACACTGGATAAGATTCAAGAAAGGAGGAACAAGAAAGCAGCAATCAATACCAGTCGAAAAAGAGCAGAAATAGCCAAAGCACAAGCTGAATACACAGAAGTAAAAACAAGCAAGTGAAGAGGAGCATCAGAACTGATAAACGTAAATATGTGGAAGATTTAGCAATGACGGCGGAAAAGACTGCCAGAGAAGGAAACATGAGACAACTGTATGACACAACAAAGAAACTCTCTGGAAATCACCGTAAACCAGAACGACCAATGAAAAACAAGGAAGGCAAGATAATCACCAACATTGAAGAACAACGAAACAGGTGGGTAGAACACTTCAAAGAACTCTTGAATCGCGACCAGCCCCACTGAACCCACCCAACATCGAAGCAGCACTCACGGACCTCCCAATCGATGTTGGCCCACCAACAATTGAAGAAATCAGCATGGCTATCAGAAAAATCAAGATTGGCAAAGCATCAGGACTAGACAGCATTCCAGCAGGGGCACTGAAAGCGGACGTAGTGGCAACTGCAAGGATACTCCAAACTCTCTTCAGAAAGATCTGGGATGAGGAACAGGTACCAAGAGACTGGAAAGGACTTCTAATCAAAATACCAAAGAAAGGCGATCTCAGCAACTGTGACAACTACAGGGGAATCACTCTTCTCTCAATACCAGGAAACGTCTTCAACAGGGTATTGTTAAACAGGATGAAGGACTCCGTTGACGCACAACTTCGCGACCAACAGGCACGATTCCGTAAGGATAGATCGTGCACAGACCAAATCGCAACTCTACGGATCATTGTGGAACAATCAATTGAATGGAATTCATCACTCTATATCAACTTCATTGACTACGAAAAAGCATTTGACAGCGTGGACAGAACAACCCTATGGAAGCTTCTTCGACACTACGGCGTGCCTCAGAAGATAGTCAATATCATACAGAATTCCTATGATGGATTAAACTGCAAGATCGTTCATGGAGGACAGTTGAAAAAGTCGTTCGAAGCAAAGACCGGTGTCAGGCAAGGTCGCTTACTCTCACCCTTTCTCTTTCTCCTGGTGATCGACTGCATCATGAAGACGTCAACATCTGAAGGGAAGCACGGGATACAGTGGACAGCTAGGATGCAATTGGACGATCTAGACTTCGCAGATGATCTGGCTCTTCTATCGCATACGCAACAACAAATGCAGGAGAAGACAACCAGTGTAGCTGCAGCCTCAGCAGCAATAGGTCTCAATATACACAAAGAGAAAAGCAAGATTCTTCGATACAACACAGCATGTAAGAATCCAATCACAATTGACGGAGAAGCGTTGGAAGATGTAAAAACCTTTACATATTTGGGCAGTATCATCGATGAACACGGTGGATCCGATGCAGATGTGAAGGCACGGATTGGCAAAGCAAGAGCGGCATATTTACAACTGAAGAATATCTGGAACTCAAAACAATTGGCAACCAACACCAAAGTCAGAATTTTCAATACAAATGTCAAGACAATTCTACTGTGTGGAGCGGAAACCTGGAACACTACGAAATCCATTATCCAAAAGATACAGGTGTTTATTAACAGTTGTCCACGCAAAATACTTCAGATCCGCTGGCCGGACACTATTAGCAACAACCTACTGTGGGAGAGAACAAATCAGATCCCAGTGGAGGAAGAAATCAGGAAGAATCGCTGGAAGTGGATAGGACACACATTGAGGAAAGCACCGAACTGCATCACAAGACAAGCCCTCACATGGAATCCTCAAAGCCGAAGGAGGAGAGGAAGACCAAAGAATACCTTACGCCGAGAAATGGAGATAGATATGAGAAAAATGAACAAGAATTGGATGGAACTAGAAAAGAAGGCCCAGGACAGAGTGGGTTGGAGAATGCTGGTCGGCGGCCTATGCTCCATTGGGAGTAACAGGCGTAAGTAAATAAGTAAGTTTGGTTGATAATCCACTTTTCTCTAATTGGCGGTATCATTACGTTATACATTAAAAGGACACAGGGCACAAGTTATAACACTTGTCTTGTAATAATGTCGTTAAAATATATCTGATCATTTGTCGACTTTTTTCCACTTGCAATATACTGAATCATAAAAGAGATTATTGAGATAAAATATATGTATCCAGGCCAATGAAGTTGATGTTTTAATACTTTGCTATTAAGCAAAGAATGATTTCCAGTATACATAATCATTTATTACTTGATCTCACCATTATTGACATCGTGTCTATCACTGGATTTGAGAATTCCTTCATAGACAATATTAGTAATTGAGCAGATGTAATAAGTAGAATCAGTGGACCGACTAAGTCTATCTCAAACAGTCTAATTAACGAATAAGTCATTATATATTGCTTTATTATAGATTTTAATGTAGTTCGTGTATGTATATCTAGGTTTCATTCTCCATATTAAGAGAAGTACACAATGCCAAATTTGAAACAATCTAGTGTGAAATATATTTGTTCATTTTTATTCGTACTACTCTCAAAAACCACATTTTGATTCCTTTGATTCACCTTTAGGATTTTTATGGTTTCGACCTTCAGCACTGGTATACTGAAGTTTCGAACAATCTGAATATATAGAATTTATGGTTAATTTTATATGTATCAGTATATAATTAGATAGGTTTTGAATAATTTAAGAAACAATATTCTCAAAATTAAATCGATATTATCAGTTAGTCAGTAGCAACGTAGAACTTCGTACGTACGTTTGAGTTGCCATACCACAACTGGAACTGATGTTGTACAATAAAATTGTTCAGTGGAATCAAATATCTATCTACTAACTGATGAAATTATTTTTATAGACTTTAAAATTACAAAACTGATCTTAGTTAAACCATCACTGAAAATGTGGATACACTGAAAAACCAATTCTTCCTAGTTTGGAACTTCTTAGCAGTACAGATTCACGACCTTATACCCAGGAATAAATATCGCGCATTAATGATTAACATCTAGATCACCAGGTTGTCATCCAACGGTTTAATAGAAGACAAAGAGTGTATACACCTACGCCATTGTGATCGATTCTGAGCCATGTCACCCAGAGTTTCCAACCATTGGTTACGATAGTCACGTGGACCCCAATCAAGTAATCTGCATCTACCAACATGGCTCAGACTAGAAGTTAGTGACTGTATGGACTGATATTACATTTCGGCTTGACCGCCCTTAACTTTCTTCCTAACATTCTCAACACTAATCAACATTATGTATCGTTATAATCGAAACCCATGGCTTAACCATCTTAGTCGACGAAAATTCATAACTTCATCAACTGATTTATGATTGTAAATCTATTACATGAGTTCAATTTTTTTTATAAATAATGATTTCCTATTTGTGATATACTCAATTATATATTGATTATTTTATTTTTATTGACTTTTTGTTTTAAAAAAGAACACTAAAACACCACGTTCTTCATTTGAAGCCATGAAAACTGTTCCAGCTGAATATTAATTTTATGATAAATCAAAGCACCTCTAGAAGATTATTGATTTGTCTATTTTTGTAAATAAAAACAAACAAACAAACAATTTATTTATTTATAAATTTCCAATAGTGAATTATGTGTAGTAAGTGTTTGTCGCTTTGTTGTTTATTATTGCCGTTTTTTTTTGTTGTTTGTTATTGTGTTCTGTTTTCATTTTCAATGCTTTATTAGTTACCAATGTACTGTAGTTTTTTTTCTTTTTAAAATCTTATGAATGAATTAAATTTAATGAAAACAGAAGATTTTCTTTTCAACTCAATTGTATACTTTTTTGCATAAGACTATGATTTATGAACGACCTTTAAGTAAACACTTAAGTGACTCTGACATTGTCTATCTACTAATTAGGATTAAAATGTCAGTTATAAACCAGTGTAAGGAATTTCAAATGATGATTTACAGTTGATAGTTAAAGATTATGAATTAGATATATTGGGTTTTTATCATGAACGAGCAAATATCAGTTATGTTGCTAAAACTTTATTTAGCCAAATGGTTAAGTGAATTGCATAACCAATATCCAAGACTTATTATCTTATATCATGATTGATTCGTCCATAAAATGATAATCTCGCTAGTTTTTTGGATTATTATTTAGTTTTATTTCATTAATTAATTAAATTATATCAAGGTTTTATTGTAATTAAACTATGGAATTTCATAAAACATTTTGTAATACCATTAATATCTGATTTAATTATTGTGAGATCAGTTAAACAATAACGATTATATAATAAATGATGATACATGTGTGTTATGTGTGTGTGTGTGTAGTTGTTATGTTCAGTTGGCATTTTATGTTGTTTTTTACGCCCGAGAATGATTTCATTTATTCTCGTTTTTCTTTTTGTTTTGTTTTGTTTTGTTTTTGTTTGTTCCTTATTTCATTTGCCTTAATCAATTAACAGTTTAATGTTTTGTTTGTACAGTAACATAATTTTCTATTCCTTCTTTTTTTGTTGATGTATTAGTATTTTTCCTTTCTCCAGTTTAGTCATATTTTAAAACACCTTTATTCAATATTATATTTTTGGTACAATATTAAAACTCTCAATGCAAAGTATTTCAATAGGTTTCTCATTTTTTTATTTCTTGTTTGATCCTGACGATAAATATTGAATGATTGAAAGTTAAATGTTAGCAGTTCATGAATCGACATCTGATTAATGTATATTCTTTTCGATACATATTGCCAGAAACTACGATGTCTCTGATTGGGCTTTTTTCTGTAACTTCTACAACGAAAGGTCGTAAACTTTTATAAACTCACCTGAATAGGTTATGCGATTAATAAACATAATGATGTGACAAAACAAACAAACAAAGAAGAAAACAGGTTGCTTGTTGAAATATTTGGATGACAAGAACAAATAGATCAGATATTGAAGTAGGCCGCCTTAGATTGTATGGATAGAATCAGTATAAACTATTCGAATGTGTTAATTCAAAGTTTTAAAAGGTGATTAAATATTTGTTTTCCAACCAACTCATATAGTATAAAGAATCGACTGTGATTACGTAATAATAATAATAATAATAAGAAAAAGAAGAACAGCCTCAGATTATAGGCTTGGTGAAAATAAAGAATTTTAAACAAGAGTCATAGGAACAATCATCACTTCACAAGTATTTCATATACAGTTTGAAAATCAATGATTGAGAATGCCCTGGTACGGCCGAGAGTGGAAAGAATCCGCTCCCCCTCTCGAAATGCTCTCACGTGGCCATGCATATATAGCCTCTGCCATGGAAGTCCTACTCACTGCCTTCTTGTGGCATCACTGTTGTTTACGAAAATGAGGGGACGAAAAGCGAATGTCCGGCGCTTTAACCGGATCCCAAACCAATGGTGCACATGGGCTAGCTCCAGTATCCTGAAGGAACAAATGATGTATGAACCAACTATTGGTCACCGGCTACCATGGGACTGCATCTCCTCACAATGCTCCACTGCCTTGTGGATCAGACCTTCAGGTCGAAGGCTCTGGGTGTGGCCCCCTAAGAAAACCACCTGCTTCGGTTTGGGCACCCGGAAAGTATCATAGCCCTCACACAAATCAATTGAGATTCGTGTGGCGCATATGTATTTGGTGCTTTCTTGTACCGATATCTATGTGTTAAAATAAATAGATTGAGAATTTTGAATAGACCATTTAATTCAAACTACGTAACCCAGAAAGCCCATCTACATATTTTCATATCATTATTTATGAAAACAATTGAAAATATTACAGATATTGTCAAATATCACTGTAAACGTCTCATAAAACGCACCTAAATAGGTTATAAAATTAATAGGGATAATGTGATGTGTTAAAATAAAAAAAACAACAACAAATAACTTGTTGAAATATCAAGATGACAGGAATTAGTAGTCCAGATATTCAAGTAGGTCTCTAATTAGAATCTTAATGCACAATTGTTAGATTAGTATTACTGTTATTATTATACTAGGACGAAACGGCCATCCAGTGCTTCCAGCTTTTCCATGATAGTGTAGCTTCAATTGATTTATCATTTCAACTATTGATATTATAAAAACAACCAATCTCCAATTTTGTTTTTTTTATTCAAATGAATATTTTAACTGTAAATACGAAACAAAATTGATCACTACATAATATCAACTTTTCACGTAATGAGTATATTATAGCTGATACATAATAGAAATGTTTATTTCCAATAATTATACTGATTTATTATAGAAGCTAAAGTGAATTAATTCACAGTAACAAATGTGAATATCCAACTTTAATTAATTGAAAGTAATCAACACAAAGATCTCGTTAGCTGACATTTATCAACATTTATATCTGTGTGGTGCTGAAGAAATTGATACTCTATGTACAACTTCAACCTAAGTACTCAATACCACAATTAACAAAAGGTTATTATTGTACTATTTAGGTTACTATCGAATAATCAATATTAAAACGGTATAAAGGATGTTGAATTACTTAAACTAGTAGCCATTTAGCGAATTGTTTGATAGAATATCATCAGAATTAAACATGCATGAAATTGGTTACTATTTGTACGACTATTACTATCCTATGACATTAATCAATATTTATTATATATTATTATTTGATAGGAAAGTATTGGTATAACCAGACACCGAAATAAATATACTTCACATGAATAAAATGAGAAATGATAGGAGTATAATAATAATAATAATAAGACACATCGTTAATCAACGAAAATAATATGTAGCGTAAGTAGTTCCGTTAAAATATAAGGTCGATTTACTGAAGAATTGTCATTAACTTTTGTTACATCTGACAACGTTTCAAATGACTAAGTTGAAAATATGTCAGTGATATATACATATTATCTTTAGTTGAATGAGTATGTAAATTTACAGCCTAGTATAAGATGAAGTTGATCCGTCATCTTCATTAATATTGGGTTACCGTTTAAGTTGGAGAGAAATCCTAGCTGATGAATGGTTTACAATATGCAATGTGTATTGTAGTATACACTGAAAGCATATTGTCAACATTTTGTTAACATATCATATATTGCTGTCACTGATCTGATGTGAATCATTCACATTTGTGTATGTGATAGTACAGTGTATACTTTCGAATGACAATCGTTCAAATTGTCGGTTAATTGCTTTTATCTTTTGTTTTCAGTGTTGTCGTTGTGTTTGCGAGTGTGTATTACCATTGACTATAATCATAGGTGGGAAGTCAAGATATGATTCTCTCTAGCTTAGCGTATATGTTCCTTCACATTAATCGGAAGGATGAAATATCTTTACACACTGATACTCTACCACATTGTCAATAGTGGATGGACTAAAACAGTGTTGTAATAACATCTTGTTTGTAATTTATTCATGAGACTGAACTGTATTCAATGTCAGTCATCTTACATAATCGAATATCTCGACAATTTCAGACTGATTTCATTTTTCTCGTTAACAACGTGGTAGAAATGAACAAATTTGATTATCTGAAGTAGAAATGAATAAAAAAGTGTATGTTCTTTAATGAAAGTGGATCTAGTCTGACAGATTTATAAGTATGAAAATTAGAACCTCAGAAAATAGTTCATCAACCCATGATGTTCAACATTTAAATGTGAAATCAACAGTGAAGAAATGATGCCGACATCTATAACTGAAAGTGCATACATGAAGATAGATTTGAAGTAATTAAACAATCATAGAATGTTTGATAGTTGACATTTATCAGCTTCTTGCAAACCTAATTGTGAAATGGTTTATTTTTCAGTGTCACGTATTTAAGCTTGTTACTCCTTGCGCGGCAGCATAAACTGCCAGACAGTTCTTTCCATCCAACTCTGTCTTGGGCAATCTTTTACAATTGCTATTCATCTTTTACATGTCTGCTTCCAATTCTCGACATGGTGTGTCCTTTGGTCATCCTCTTTCCCGTTTCTCTTCAGGATTCTAAGTTAGCGCTTACCTCGTGGTGCAGTTTATTGATTTCCACAATATATGTCCTATTCACTTTCAGAATCTTTTCATAATTTCCTCTTCAAACTGAAGCTGATTTGTTATCTCTCACAACAGGCTATTGCTCATTTTATCAGGCAAACGGATATTGCGTAGATAATTGTTTATAAATACCTGTACATTTTTGATGATGTTTGCAGTAGTTCCCCATGTTTCAGCTCCGTACAGTAGAACTGTTATATTGGATATTAGCAATTCCACTGTTTTGGATTCGCATGTTTTGCTCAACCCTTGAACTTGTTTGCTTGTATATTTGACCTCCAATATCTTGTTTTACTTTGTCTTTGGTTTGATATTTGGAAGTTTTTGCTCCAGAAATCTAAAATTGAAGGTTTGTTTTGTAATTATTATCAGAACGATGTATTTGTGTTGATTACTTTTAAACAAAATTTTGTGCCTGAATTAGAATTTGCTTTTATTGTTATTTGGGGTTCGTAAGTTATAAGTAGATCAATTGACGGTTTTTCAATAAGCTTAAAGTAACATAAAGTCAATCAGTTACAGGCGTCTGTAAGGTTGAGGTTAAATATCTGACTATAAACATGAATTAGTTATAAGTAGTTGACTGGTGCTAATAACTAGTAAACTGATGTACATATATGCTGTTAATTCTGAAAATCTATACACCGCAAAATAAACTGCGTTACTTGTTATTACTATCATTACCGATACATAAGCGGTTTTCCCTTATTGTTTGATTGACTATGTGACAGATCCAATATTTGTTTCAATTAGTGTTTGAATCAACGTTATCCGATATTTTTAGATTTCAGAACCCACCTGAAGATGCGAATAGATATTTGAAGACTATGTATATGTGTATGTATTGTGTAGATGCTATGTATCTTCATATTGAATAAATTTTCTACATTTTTCCTGTTTACACAATACTACATGTCATCATCGTGGTGTATATACTGGTTGAAATTGATTAATTATTTGACAGGGTAATAATAAGGAAGTTAGGTTTGTTGCGTATTGTTATAGTGTCATGTACTACTCTATAAAAAATATAATAGATTATGTAGGTTACCGTCATCTTCACAATACTAAATTAACTACTAGAATAACATTTACCGAATCATAATAAACGTTTGTGTAGAATAAAAGAAAATATATTCATAGTTATTGATAATGACCCGTTTATTGTGGCATGACACTTACCAAGTATGTACATTACGGTTAAGTAAGCCATAAAGGATTAGAAAGAAACTAATAACAGAATAAAGAAGTGGGAAAAAAAGTAGAATGTATCGTATTATTTGACTAATATAAGAAAAAACGCAAGCGCCAGTAATACAGTTCACAGTTGTACTCATGTAACATACACAGGTATGAAACTGTACATTTAAGTGTTGTACTATAAAAGCTTAATAGTTTCAAAGAATCTTCATGGCCAATGAACATGTCTACCAGATTCGGCTGGTTCAGTAGCTGATGTTCTAATAGAGGCTGAAGATGATTCGACTTGTTGTGGGATTATTTTCCAATGAATTGTTAATTACTATGTAATATCTGAATATGTTCTACAGTTATATGAACATTAAATGCTCGGTTATTGATGTATCATCAAAAGTTATTACGAATGCTAGTTATGTTCTTAATATGGGTTCGACAGTTTGTTATGTTTACTCGAACTCTTAGTGTCTTACGAGTAGCTCTTAAGCCAGGTAGTGCCAGAACTCCCAATAACAGATAGTTGGCATGTAGTAAGACTAGGAGTTGCATTTAGATCAGGTACATGAATTACAAATTTCAGCAATATGTACAAGTAAACCTACGGAAACGCAATTGAATGAATTTATACGTTCTTAACCGCTCACGATGTT